GTGCGCATGTGAGCACAAGCCCGAGCTTCCCTCTCTAGACATGACACCATAGACAGGATTCTTTGTTTAGGATTAGCCTCATTATGGTTTAGCCATGGTTGGATGTTTTCAAAATGAGTAACGCACTGAGTGTGTTTGCATGGTCTTGAGTATCCCGGTTATGAGCCTTATCCCGGGTTCGATTATGTTCAGGATATGGCGTTGAGATGCACACTGAGAAACCTGGTTATTCATATCCCTGTATACATGATAGATAAATACCAATTTCCCGGTTTCTGATTACTGCATCATATTTGCACAACAGTGATGTTTATTTTTTAACTACAGAAACCACGGCAACCACAAATGTTTGGAAACTGCCGTCATATAGCCTGTTCACCACAGGCTTGGATAGGTCAGCATTTTGATGCTTAACTTCCAATTATATTTAATTCTTTCATTACCCAAAGACAAAACTCAGTTTCTTTGTTACTCCAGAAGGTTTCTGAAATCAGGATATGATGTTTACATGCACATGCACAAACACAAAAACGGGATACTTGAAAAACCCGATCAAAACCGGGACAGAATATTACCGTATAATTTCTGACTTTACAGCTTTTTGGCTGTGATGTAATTATTTAATTCTCATATTTTGCTGATATCTTACACTGTTTAATAGAGGTTGGGAAACATGCATGCAGCTCTTGAATCAGAGCATTACCAAGGGTGTACTAACCACTGCTATCTTTGTTCAATCAGAGTATAGTGATCAAAACATACAAACCAGAACGGTTACGATTAACTTTTTGGGCTATTTTCTTGTGCATTCTTTTGATGTGTTGTTCCACAATGCACATGCTGCTTTTCTCCACCCTTCTTCCTCTCCCTGCATACGTAAGTGGGCTCTGTTCACCTCTTTTTATGACTCATAAGTTCATGCAAATACACGCGGCATGTTTTGAATATTTACTAAGTAAAACACCTTCCTAATAGTAGATTAACCTTTTGGGGAGGAGGCGTCTTGCTAATTGCCTCGGTTATCAAAATAGTAACAGCGAAACTAGTTATTACATAGGCAGCAACCAGGCGCTCCCTAACGACACAAGCTGGTCTACACTTACTACCATAGAAAATACATGACAGGTATGAAGCACATTTGGACTGTGTCAAACCAACATGCTGATGTACCTGATTTAAACGGCTGATACTTTCCTGCGTACATGTTTATGTTAACCCAGATGGACATTTGACCGCTTTAAAGATGTTGCTGTGTGTCAGTAGCTTGTATATAAGCTCCTAATAAGCTCCCAGTAATCTCTTGTCTTGTTGTCTCTTGTATGGTAGGTTCATAGATGTCAACTTGTATTAAAGCTGGCAATCATGTTGAATCTTTGGAGTCCTTGGCCTTTTTCACATATGTACTCCCAAACATTTCTAGAAAATTCCAGGCAGGCTTTAACCTTGTGGCAAACATAGTGATTTCCAACAATACTCCTCACTTCGTTTAACACGTGCATTTCACTTACAACTCACTATGCTGTCATGCTATGCAGTTTAAATTGTGGTGTCTGTGTATTGAAATATACAGTAAATGCTCCCTCACTGGACAGCAGCTGCTCCAGCATGATGCTGTGCTGAGGTCACTGTCTTGTGATCTGAGGGGCTATGTGACACTTTATCTCATTGCAGCCGGCCTCGTGTGTGTGTGTGTGTGTGTGTGTGTGTGTGTGTGTGTGTGTGTGTGTGTGTGTGTGTGTGTGTGTGTGTGTGTGTGTGTGTGTGTGTGTGTGTGTGTGTGTGTGTGTGTGTGTGTGTGTGTGTGTGTGTGTGTGTGTGTGTGTGTGTGTGTGTGTGTGTGTGTGTGTGTGTGTGTGTGTGTGTGTGTGTGTGTGTGTGTGTGTGTGTGTGTGTGTGTGTGTGTGTGTGTGTGTGTGTGTGTGTGTGTGTGTGTGTGTCAAGATCTATGGATGGAAAATTCCTGCGTCATGGTAGCTAGTGCAAAGTGGAGTGAACACCCTGAGGCTGCTAAGGTACACACTCTCAGTCACAAAACATTTACTGTACCTTGGCTGGAGCTAAAGCTGGAAACCCAACCTGCCAGCTCTACGCTTGTTAGAGTGACAAGATGCCAGTTTTTTTTTTTTTTTTTAAAGAGATGAAAATCTGAAGCAGTGCCCTTACTTTACTGGCAGCCTTGTTAACAACAATCATTTCAATGACCACTGTGGTAAGGCAAACACAGCATCTGAGTGACCAATCTTAAATCAGAAATGTATGCAACTCAACAAAATCTATCACCTCCTCACTGCCGTACTCCTAGTCCCCCTGTTGTCAGGACTTGAAATGAGCATGATGTGTATGTTGATGTCTGCATACTTCTTAGTGTTGGACTGTGTTGTTATCCTCCAGAAGATGCAGTGGGGAGCGATTACTGCAAACTGTAAAACGTCCCATGCCAAGAATAGATAACTTGAGCTTAAAATACCTCATAGTTTCTAAACAGACCCATACATACTCGCACACATGGCAAAAGTTTTTATTGTATTTTGATATCACTTAACTGTATAAGGGCTGCAACAACGATTCGATAAAACTTGATTAATAAAAGTTTTGGCAATCAATTTGATTATCATTTCTTTGTGTCGAGCGATCCTTGCGTGTGTTGTAAAACACTACCCCAGTGCTTTACTAGACGGTGAGATGCAGACCCAGCAGGCTGATATAGACCACAAGCTAAACAAACAAGCCCTCTCATGAGCTGTACCCTCTCATGAGCCCCTCTTTGCCCTTCCTAACTTCCCCTTCCTGCCTGCAAGAGGAAGTGAGCGGGGTCATGCTCAGATTGTCTCATCTTCCTTGTGTCTGCTGCCAGGAAAAGGGGAGCTAGGGATGGCACTTGGCAAGATTTACCAGAAGTGGTGCTGTTTGTGTTGGTGTGTGTATGTAAAGGGGATGTGCAGGAGTAGCTGACGAAATTGTTGACATCGTCACCCTCGCTAGTCGACACCAGAATTACTAGCTGGTTAAAGAAACGATAAAAATGTGTTATGTTTGCCCTTAATGCGGGTCAATTTCTAGGCTCAAACTGTAACACAGCCACACACAACTAGCTAGGGCTGTAGGCATAGGCTGTCTGTAGCTTTGGCTAATGGGCCTTCTCTCCTGGTTCTACTGCCTGGATGTTAAAAGCACACTGAACTGATAGCATCTCGTAGTAGTCTGGCAGTGGCAGCATTTTGATCTTGAAAATTGAGATAAAAATGTATGTTGTCTGTGTCTGATTAACCTGGATATCTGACCTCTGCGGTATCACATATAGCCCAGCCATGTCGGCATTCACCTGCAAGGAGATCTGAAGGCTTGCTGGTTCATTTGCACCCAGAATATTTCAAATAAATAATGCTGAAGTTTGCCTTTTTTGTGTGTTTCTTTACTTTTGACTAGTCAGTTAGTCTGGTTATAAGTTTTCATTCACCGCCCAGAAAGTGAGTCAATAGGAACATTACTAGTATGTACATACATGTGTGTTAATGCAGGACACATTCTTTTCATTTTTTTTCCACACCCAGACTCAACTCGCTCATCTATTTTTGGACGATGCAGTGTTTTGGGGCAGCTCCATTAGCTTTGCTTGATTAAGTCATTAAAGTGTTCTAACCATTCCTAAGTGGGAAAGCAAAGCTCCTGTCACACACCATCACTGTCCACACTGCCAGAGCCATTGTCGAGGGCCCGGCAGTTACGCAAGAGTTGTGCTCACAGTAGAAGGTCACGGCTTGGGTCAGTTTCCCTGACACGTTGGAATCCAGAGGAAGCACACTGTTTGACAACACACAGTTTGACTTCATGTTGAGAAGTGCCTGACGTTGCATTTCCCTTCCCAGTTGTAGCTTGACCTATATAATTCTTTTGTTTTGGTTTTTGTTGACATTCATGTTGGCATTTCTAAAGAATTGATGAAGTAGCCATGAACAGTAATATAGAAAATTGAAGATGAAACCAATCGTGATGCATCTTGATATCGAATGATAATCGTTGACAGGATAATCTAAATTTAATTAAATTATGAGACTAGTGTTGTAGTCAAGACCACACTAACTGAGACCAAGACATACCTGAGTCCAGAGTGCTCCGAGGTCGAGACGCGACCAAGACATTTAGGGATCAAGACCCAGGCAGGGCGAGACTGAGACAAGGACTGGACCATAAATATCAATGAAAAATCCTCACCTTTTATGCAGGGCTTGTCACTTACTATCGGGAAAGTTGAGGCTGTAACTGGGAGATAAAAATCAAACTACAAATTAATTGAAGATATTTGTTCTTTTAGAAAGAGGTGTTCTCCTTCTAATTACAGATAATAATAAATGGATAAATAGCCAATCAGTGGTGGCCTTGACCAGTCTTTATTTAAAATCCGGAGTCCGCCCAGTCTGAGTAACAAGAGTAAGACATCGTAAAAAAACTTTCAATTCAGAGACGAGACCTTCAAAAAGTGGTCTCTAGACCGGTCTTCACTACATGAGACCAGAGAAGATGCACAGCCCTGCTAATCATGCTTCAACTTTCACAAGTGTCTGACATCATGCTGTCTAATTCTTCAGCTTTTATCCCACTGTCAACTTCTTCTTTGGCCAATTCACTTTTATTTACATAACTTTTATCTTAAGTGCCACCCTGAGGTGTCATGAAGAAGTTACTCTGTGAGTTAATTTGCCTGGGAAATCTGTTCAGTGTGCCTTGTTTTATATAAAATTATCTCTATTTGGCACCAGCGATTTGGTAATTGTATCACATGAGTTAGAGCAACAATATAATGACATGTTTATATTTTGTCTCACCCCTAATGTAAACACTCAAGAGCACTTTCACTCTATTTATGTCTCAATCTGTCCTCAATACTCCCCCTCCTTCCCTCTCTCTCCTCCCTCCTTGATCCATCCTTCTATCTTCTCCACACCCTCTCCTTGTCTCATCATTCATCTTCTCACATCCCTTTCTTCTCTCTCCGTCTCCAGGTGGCTATAAAAATAGTGGATAAGACTCAGTTGGACGATGAGAACCTTAAGAAGATCTTCAGAGAGGTCCAAATCATGAAGTTGCTGAAGCACCCCCACATCATCCGCCTCTTCCAGGTACACACTTGCTCTCTCTCCCACAGAGCTGATAGCACAATACGCTTGCCTCTTGCACCTGAGCCCCATGACCTGAAAGGAACTGGACAAAATAAATTGTAGAAATAGGTTGGGATAAATTCAAACATCCCTGGATTTCTTTTCAAAACACTGTTAGTTGCAGAAGTTTTGAAATGATTTCCTGTTTGTTTGTTTGTTGTTGCCCTGATTTTTGCAGCTTTATTGGGATCGTAACACCAAACCATCTAGCATCAAGAAAACTTTAAAAGCATATTGAATGTATTAATGCGTCCCTGTTTATAAACCTTACACTGTTTTACGCTCGCCTGGGTGCAATGTGTGAACATCACATCCCTAGATATTGGCTTGTCAGAGCTTTTTAAAGGTCCTGATTGTTGTCGATTGTTTTTGTTTTCAGGTGATGGAGACGGAGAGGATGATCTATCTGGTAACAGAGTATGCCAGCGGTGGAGAGATATTCGGTAAGGAGTTACTTAGTGCAAAAAGAAATCTGTCAAAACCTTGTCACGTTCAATAGGTTAAGAATGTTTATTATTTAGAGGTTATTTTAAAAGTTGTTGACCACCATGATTGTTTTACTTGCTCCATGTGAGTGCTTTCATACTTTCACAAAACTCCAACAAATCTTGTAAGTTTTCAGTGTGAGCTGCATGTGTGAATGCAAACAGCTGGATTTTTCACTCGGACTTCATCTGGAGTTTCCCCTTCAGGGGCAGTCCTGCTGTTTGCCTCAAACATACGAAACGACACATCTCACCGCGGACACTGTATGTTCACCACCCTTCCCTCAGGCAGACTCAGGACCATTCGCACACGGACAAACAGACTAATAAACCGCTTCTATCCCAGAGCTGTGGACAAACTCCTCAACCCATAAACAAACGTAAATGGGTTGTAAACTCTGCTGTTTAGGATTGCTGCTAACGATGTTTCGTTGTGTCCTTTTATACAATGATAATAAAGGTTCTATCTAATTTTCTTCAGTAGTGCATTTGTGAAAATGTCTCATGTTAACTCTTGTTTTATTCTTTGTCACATGTTTAAAATCTTAAATGAGTCATGTCTTGAATCCTAAGCCATGTCTCCATTTTCCAAAGGATTAAAGAATCAGCTCTGGATGTCTCCATCATGAATAATGTTGTTAGATTTATTTAATGCATTAAAAGAAGTGACCACCATAAATACATATTTTACATTGTTTGTTTGTGTTCCTATACAGACCACCTGGTGGCTCATGGACGCATGGCGGAAAAGGACGCCAGGAAGAAGTTCAAGCAAATTGTGGCAGCAGTCCATTTTTGTCACTGTCGCAACATCGTCCACAGAGACCTGAAGGCTGAGAATCTGCTGCTGGACCACAACCTCAACATCAAAATTGCAGGTGTGTGAGAGTGTGTGTGTGCACTTAAGAATGTGTATGGGTGGGAAAGTTAATGTAGTGGTTTTGGGCTGTCTCGATGAGTGGGCGAAAGGCATGTGTGAACATGTGCTTTTGGAGCTTTTTGCTGGGCCGATTGAATTTATTCTGCTGAGGAAAGTGATGAGATTAAAATAAGAAAATGTGTCTCCTCTCTTCCCCGTCAGATTTCGGCTTCAGTAACCTGTTTTCTCGAGGCCAGTTGTTGAAGACATGGTGTGGCAGCCCCCCTTACGCTGCACCTGAACTTTTTGAGGGCAAGGAGTATGATGGACCTAAAGTAGATATATGGGTAGGTACACTGTTTGGTAAGCGTACGGCTCATTAAAAATGTTCTGTAATATTTTTTTAATAGATTGTTTATGAAAGCTTTGTTTAAAATTATGTAATGAGCTTATACCCTGCTGTGTTTTTTTTTCTTTCCTATAGAGCTTAGGCGTGGTGTTGTATGTTTTGGTGTGTGGTGCCCTACCTTTTGACGGCAGCACTCTACAAAATTTGCGGGCACGTGTCCTCAGTGGCAAGTTCCGAATCCCTTTCTTCATGTCCACAGGTACGTCTGTCGTCGACTTTTACTCTTTCCTGTGTCCGCTCTTTTTCTCCTTCAGTCCAAACTTTTTTCCGTGTTCTCATGAAGTGACACTGTAGGAATCATTGAACTTAGATTAAATATACGAGGTGCATTTCCCTCCACATACATTTTTTGCTAAAAGATTTTTATGAATTGAACCGAGCAGTTTTAGAAGTCTCCTCCTCACAGGAGCAGTCATCACTACTCTGCCTCATGATGGCTTTACTTTGTAAGTTGGTTTGTGAATGCCTGTCCCTAAATGTTGTTCTGAGAAATACTGCAACACTAATGGTAGAATTTAACCTTAAAACACTTCTGTTTTAGGTACCATTTGCATCTTTGTGCATAAAATAAACAAAAGTGTGACACGCTTCTGAAGACATTACTCCATGACACTGCCAGTGGTCAGACAAATCCACATCATTGAAAACATGATACAAAAACACCAAATATAAGGATAAAAAAAAAAAAAACAGATATACAAAAGTACACGATAATGTGCAAAAGATCAACAACAACAGCAGTTTATATTTCTAAAGTCCTTTTGTCCTTTCAAAGTGACTGATGCCTGTATGTTGCTGATAACGGGGTATAAAGTGTTATTCTACTGTTAAAATATTGTGGACTTGGTACAATCTGTTTTTACTATTCCTTAACAAAAATCAGACCTATAGCATTCTGAGTAATACAAACCGTTATAGCTAGTTAAAACTCGGCTGTTAATTTTGACTTTGCATTGTTGGAAAACCTTCTACTTGCTGTGATATGTGCTGTGTTTCTAACATGAGTGCACCTGCATGTCGCTGTGTGCTTGCAGACTGTGAGTACTTGATCAGACACATGTTAGTGCTAGAGCCCAGCAGAAGGTTGACCATGGAGCAGATCTGTAAGAACAAGTGGATGAGACAAGGAGACCCTGACCCGGACTTCGACAGGGTGAGTATCCGACACTCAATATCTCCAGAGCTGTTTAATGATAGCTATGATGACATGTGTTTCCTACTTTCTTAATTTTGTTGTCAGGTTATTATGCACCACCCATTCTCTGCACCAAATGTTAAAATTGTATCAAGAGAAAAATGTGCTGCACTTCAGCCATGCTGAAGCCTCTGCTCTCCCCCAGTGAACCACCTCCATCTCCCCCCCCCTCTCATTTGCACAAAGCGGCTGACACACTTGCCCTTTGCTCGAGCTGCACTTGCCTGTGGCCTGCATTGTTGTGTTGGCAGGCTAATGTTAGCTCGTAGCTTCCCACTGTGAAATGCACTTGTCCGTCACTCAGGTCGGCCACACCATAACTCTTATCCTTCATAAAATAAAGGACTAAAAGGCTGTTCTGATTAAGACATGAACCAATAAGAACAACCATGTTAATATCTGCTTTCCAAAAGGACACTTTAATATGTGACGTGTATGTGTCTTTTGGAGCCAGCCTCTAGTGGACACTCAAGGAACTGCAGGTTTTTGCAATTCCATACTGGCTTCCTTTTTCATCTGAGGTTGCCACTTGGGAATGACACATCCCAACCAATGAAAGTCTAGGGTTTTAAGGCTCATGAAACAATATAAAAACTTCAAGGAAGGTGTGTGTTCTTCCAAAATAAAAAATAGTTATAAGCACTCACCTTTATTCTACCTGACCAGGGCTCATGACAAACACAAAAAGTTGTATCTCTGAACTCATCACACAAGCAAACAAGGGAATGTCCTAACTATTGGAATGTTTCTTTAATTTAACTCTGATACAAGAGTAGTTTCTCCAAACTGTGAATGAAATGACCATGGACATGTGACACACGATGTTGTGAGATGACGATGCCTTGACAGTTTACATTAAACTCTATATCTCCCGCTCTCTCTCTTTCAGTTGATAGCTGAGTGTGAGCAGGTGAAAACGGAGCGGGAAACGGAGCTCATCAATGAGCAGGTGCTGATTGCCATGTCGGAGATGGGTCTGGACAGAGAGCGAACACTTCAGGTTGGACACACATTCTGTATTTACTTGAGCACGTATGTATTTTAATTTCAGCACTGTTTTCAGTTGATCATAACGTCCCCGTCTGTTTCTCTCCAGTCCTTACAAACAGATGCATACGATCACTACAGTGCCATCTACAGTCTGCTGGCTGACCGCCTCAAGAAACACAAGACCCTGCGTGTTGCACCGCCCACACCGCGCTCCATTAGCTATCCTATTAACGCTGTACAGGTACTTTACCGTTAGTTTGTGTTATGATGCTGGCTGTACATACCCAATGTGTCCGTTTTCAACACAGCTTGATGAAATGTTGGGGAGTTGGGACGACTAAAGACAAAGTATTTTTAAATCCTTAAACAAAGGTGCTAATAAACCGATTATTACTGTGTGTGTATCGTCTATGCTATGAATTGATTATAAATCGAGCTAAATTACTGTGCATATGATCTTCCGTTTCTTTAGTTAAAAGCCACATTAGTCACCTTTTGGGTCCATTACGTGAATCTGTTCTGCATAACCCACATCTGCCAATTACGCAGCAATAAGGAGATTGTTGGAGAACTAGTGCAGTCCTCACTTGACTGTTATGTGTCTATTTGTGTGTGTGCTTGTGTGCGTGCCCAGCAGACGGATCCACAGGGTAATCCCGTTAGCATGACTGTTCCCCACGTCCAGCTCATCAACCCAGAGAACCAGATTGTTGAGGTGAGTTGACCTGGTTACGTCAGCCGGGCAGTAGGTGACCGGCTGACGGCTCATGCACGCTTAGGACCAGACGAGACTTTCGTTAATGGAGTTGAAATCCAAACTTTGGGCCTTATCCCATCTGCTACCAACTTAGAGAGTCGTCCTGTTTCACACCGGTGCGGGTGCTCTTGTAGCTGGAAGTCTCTGCTGCACTACTTTGCAGCACAAATAAGTAAACACAGCAGCATCCGGTCTCATTTTTTAACATATTTGCACGTTTATAGTTCCTGGCTGTTTGTCCATTATCAGCGGTTTACCCCTACAGTAAACTACTTTCAGTTTAGCTAGGAATGGACTATGATCCGACACACATAATCAAGCATGCTCACTCTGCCAAATATAACTCACACAGCCTCAAAGCTGACTCACAAATGCTGTGAAACACCAGAATGCATGAGATTACTGCATTGCAGCAGGGATTTTAGTAAGCGAACTGGACTTTGAAGTATGTTTATTAGATATGAAATAAACTTAAAATGTAATGTATGTACATGTTTGTAAGTACTGGAAACACTAAAGGGCACAGCTAATATCCTGATGTGTGTGTGCATTTTTGTGTAGCCGGAAGCTAATATGGCACTGGACAGTGATGAAGGGGAAGAGCCATCTCCAGAGGCCATGGCTCGCTACCTTTCGATGAGGCGGCACACTGTTGGGGTACCAGACCAAAGGTAACGCGTAAACACGCAACCAAACTACCTTCAGTGATATTTTCTACTGTTGCTACAGTATCAAACATTGTGTAGCAGCTAACTGAAATGCCAGATATTGTTTTTAATTACCCAGTCAGAGTCGAACAACCAATCAGAGTTGCCTCGCGCATAGCTAGCCTAACTCTACAGTTTCATCATCGAGCTTCTCCTTGAGTTATTTTGGCAACGCTGTCTCACTCGGGCTGTTTGCCTTGGTGGTGCTGAGATCACAATGGCTCTCGCGTTGCTTACTGCCACTTTGAATAGTCTGTGTTTTTTGGTGGGGACACCACTACATGAACTGATTTGTAGAACAGAAACTAAACTAGTGAGTCCCTTCTGTCTCTCTCCCTGCTTTGTCTACAGGACAGAGATGCAGGAGGACCTCCAGAAACTACCACCGGGTTTCCCTCGTGGTGCAGTCCCCCAGGTTCCCTTCCCTCAACTGGCCCCCACAATGGGCCAAATGCACACTCTAATGCCCACACAAAGCCTGCAGCCCACACAGCAGCTGGAGTACAAGGTACAGTGAGTGGGTTTAGACTCGGTTCTACCCATTTGCATTGGAAGGACTCAGGAAGTCGTCAATACAGTTTCAGAAATCAACATATAGGTAAGATTAATCTTGCTTCCTATGTCTGCCGTGCCTCCAGGAGCAATCTTTGCTGCAGCCCCCTACCCTGCAGCTGCTTAACGGCATGGGGCCTCTTGGTCGGAGAGCTTCAGATGGCGGTGCCAACATTCAGCTACACGCTCAGCTCCTCAAGAGGCCTCGGGGGCCCTCACCACTCGTCGCCAGCCCGGTGAGTATCTGGATTTTTTGTACGTTTGATGTTGGGATGTGCTCCTTATAGAATAACTCACTGGAGTGTTTACTGGTAAACTCTGTGCCTCTCTTAGCACCCTATCCCTGCAGTAGCTCCGGTGGATGAGGAGGGATCGGACGGAGAGCCTGACCAAGAGGCAGTACAAAGGTAATCCACCATGGCACCTTTTTTATCAAGGGTTATTCTTAACAGGGGTGCTGTCTAAACTGGGTACTCTTGAGGGCCCGTAACCCATGCCTACAGGGCTGTGGTTTCTATTACTGATGTAAAACTAACCAGCTTAAAGGATTCTAAATTACTTGAATGCACAATTTGTAAAAGATTTCCAAGTTTCGGTCCGTCACACAGATCTGTTTCACTACCCTATGTGTAAAGCAGGAGCTGAAATTAGCCCAGGGTAAGGACAGGCGTAGGTTAAGTTCATGGAGTTCTCGGTCTAGGTTGTATTTTCCCACTGGCCTTCTTTAGACAGCACTTTCTGTTGACCTCGCTGGTGTCCTGGGTTGCTGGGAGTGAGTGCTCTGCTTTTTCTCAAGGGAGGTGGCCATTCTGCTCTGGTGCTTACCCCATCTCTCTCCCTTTCTCCTTCGCGCAAGTGCCTTCTGCCACAGTTCCAAACTGAATCTGCCACCAAATCAAAGCCCTCTTTTCTCAAACCCTTTGGCAGAGAGCTTCTTTATCCTTCTCATTTCAACAAGTACCAAGTTGTTCCCAGACCTTGCTCACCCTTTCTCATACAGCTTTGCTAACTCTGAAGCTTGCAAAACTCAATTAAGTGAAGGCTACCAGTCCAATCCTTAAATTGGAAGCTGGGGGGTGGTGGGATACCTGTAAGCTATAACATCCATCTATGGTGTAATTATTATGATCTGATGTTTTTCTGATTGGCTAAGATGATATGAATGATGGCACCCATTGGCAGAGGTGGGAAGGGGCGGGGCTATCCCCCGTCTCTGTTAGCCAATGAGGACAGAGAGCTGACCAGCGCTGCTTCCTGTCTCCCACCCTCACCCCCCGTCCTCCCCCTCCCTGCGGCCCAGGTACCTGGCGAACCGCTCCAAGCGGCACACGACGCACGCGCTCATGAGCACATCGCATGGCGAGCCCTCTGCAGAGTCACAGCGGCCTCAGGGCCCCCGCCAGAGGGGCTGCTGGGCCCCCGACATACACACCCGGTGAGGGGACACACCCGCTCCGAGTTGTATATGCACAAACACACACACACACAAACATTCAGTCTTACACTCATGGGCGTATGAAGCCTATCTGACGTTTTAACCCTCCCACACACACACACACACTCACTCACTTGCACACACAGCTGATCTCACACACACCTTGGGAATAATGCACATGCACCGGGGGAAGATTTGGCACCTTCCAAGCAGGAAGTCTGTATTTTTTTGCTCATTAGTGGAGTTGCAGGTAGAAGGTGCGCCACATGATATACATATCTTCACATCCCCAGTTAACCATGGTTCAGAATAACTGTTTGTTTCTTTCCTGAAAAACTTGAGAAGAGGAGGTATGTGACAGGTTCAAGATTTAGAAGAATGGTCTTGTTGGAGAACCCCCTTAAAGCTAAATCACTAGTAGAGACCATTTTTTGTGTTGTTGTGTTTGTAGCAGTAACCCCCCCTTATACTTGATGTCCTCACACTCCCTTTAGAAAAGTCCTTTGAGAAACTGGGTGTACTTTTTCTTCGTTTTGGATGCAGTGTGAGGCAGAGGCTGTTCTTTAAAATGAGGCTTGTTCCTGATATATTTGTGTCCATTTTTTAAAGACAGGATGCAATGCCGAGCTTTGACAGATGTGTAAAAGCTTGAAGCTGTATCTTGGTTTCTGGAATACCGTCTCATAAGCAGATACTGTGGTCTGACGGGTGTTTTATTTATTAATGTTTTGGTTTGTGAAAATCACTTCTGAATCTTTTGAAAAGATAAATTAGCTTACGTTATTTGTAGGTTCCATTAACAGTGTTATTGATATAACGTAGTGTAACTTAAATTGGAGGTCCAATGTGACCTTTATCTTCCTGAAAGTTTTTGTCTTATTGACTTGAGCTGTTTTGAGGTGCAGTGACCCAATACACAGTTAGTGAAAGGTTTAAACGCGCTATTAATAATTGAGCTTTTATCCTTTTTTTGTGCACAGTTCCTCTGTGGAGGATAGGGGGAAACATGTTAAACAAGAGCTTCTGGACTTCTTTGACTTATGGGTTGAATTAATTTTGGGTTGCTGATGTTTCCTGCACTCAGTGTGTCGCAATGAGACACTTAAACGTGTAACATTTGTGCATGTTTAAAGAGCTTCTCATGTGTCTGTCTCTGTGTCTGTATGACTGATTATGTGTGCGTCGCTGTGTCTGTCTTATTCGTCACATCGTGTTTTCGTTTGTATGTATGTGTGTGTGTATTTCTGTACACACGTGTTTGTGTCTGCTCCCTGTGGTCCCCCTCCTCAGATCCAGCTACAAGGACTGTAATACCCTTCACCTCCCCATGGAGCGCTTCTCACCTGTCAGACGATTCTCTGATGGCGCGGCCACCATCCAGGCTTTCAAAGCTCACCTGGAGAACAGCAGCCTCATCAAGCAACTCAAACAGGTACACTCTTCTTCTGGACGTTAAATATTTTTCTCTCTTTCTGTCAGACAAATGGGGCAACGAAAAGTTCCTCAGAGGGACCACCCCACCCCCCACACTCCCTGATCTTGAATGTAGCTATGCTAGGGGCTTGCAAAAAGTGATCCAACAAGGTGAAAAGTGCAGAAATTGTAATACATCCCAGCTAGTGTGATGCAATTTTGACTCTTAGGATTATAAAGCAACATCCATTGCCATTCGTCTCTCTTTTATTAGCCGAGGAGAACTCTGTGAAGTCAGAGTAAGAGTAGTCGCGTACTGGATGAGCAACCCTCATAGGTTTTATATTCCACTCTGCCACCTCATGTTGTCCCCGTTGGCTTTGGCTGCCGCTTCACAGCGGAACAGAAACAGTAAAGTTCCACCAAGAATGTCTGGAGTAGGGCGAGTGAGTTCAGCAAGCTTTAAGCCCTTGTCAGTTCAGATAAAAGGTGAAATAAAACATGCGCTTATCGTTTAGTTTTTATTCAGCTAACTTCTAGTTGCAGAAATTTTCCCCCCCTGCAATTCAGAATAGACCTACAGGAGCGTCTGATGTAACAGCATGTCCCTGGCATGCTGATGGTGTGCTAAGGCTAGATGCAGGGTTATAAAGTAAAAGGTGAAGTTGGGGTCACAGCAGCGCAGGAGAAAAGCTTACTCTCTGTGCAGAGTGGTGCAATAAGAGAAAGTCAGGACTCATCCTGTTGGGACAGAGTTTGAAAAATGGGCAGCGTATGGTTTTAGGGTATTTGCTGCGGAATAGCATACTGTATATGAGTTATAGATCATGTGGTGAAACCCGGTGAAAGGTAGACGGCAGAATATACAGGGTGCTAGCTTTGTGCAGTTTGGTGCAGACGGAAAGGTTACAGTGACAAAATCATATTCATGTTTTGTTCCAATCGGCTGATCATTTCATTTGCTCGACAGTTCTTTAAAGCAACAATATGTAGGATTTTGGTTTGTGTGCTTTTGCGCCCACCGGTGGTCTGTGCATGCAACTACACTGTTATAGAGCACACGTGCGATTGTTGGCAATCAGAGGGTGGTAAAGCCAGGAAAGACGTTGTGAGAAGGGTGATTAGATTCAAAATGTAGGTGCAAATTTGTAATGCATACTGCTGAGGAGAGTCTGTGTGTACTGGAAATCACTGATTGAGTAAAATAGTGAACAGATCATGATGAGGATTATAAATCAGGTTCATCTATGGCTGGACTTTTCTTTGTCCTGGATTTTTCTGTATATCACCAAATGATTCAATTAAATTCAAACCTTTATTAATTCTTGACAGGACATTGAGGCTTCCCTCATTTATATGCCAGTGATGTCCAAAGTGTGGACGAGGTGAATCAGTCTCAGAATCCTTTAAAAAATCAAAAGTTCAGACTCGGTGTCGTCTTAAAACAGGCCATACACTGAGCTAAAACAAAGACTCTGGCCTGAGAATCCCTCACACTGCTTATATTGACATGACATCAGCTGCACACTGACGCTCAGACAAGATTACCTGACCCAGTAGGAGGCACAGCCACTGCGAGCAGGATAATCATCATGTTCACTGTCGGTGCTTCATCTTAAGCATGTACTGACGTGCTGGGATTATCATTACACTTAAGTGCTAAGCAGGTTAATATGTGTAGAGGAAAGGTTAACGCCACATACATGACCTACTCGGAGGAAAGCACTGAGGAAGTGAACAACCTCAGTGCTCATATGTGTGGATATATAATCCTGATGGTTTCATGAGTATCAATATTAATGACTTAAAGACATCAGGTCCTGACATCTCACCTGAATGTCACAGGAACCTCACAGCGGGGGACTATCCCGGTTAGACAGGACAGGGGAGCGGGAGGTCTCCTGAGGCAAGACATGACGTAAAAAGAATGACATGGAAGAAGCAGCAGAGCAAATACAACGCTATAATTAGAATATTTGACTTAATATCAATGCTATGTGTAGAGAATCACAACATCAACAAAAGAACAGAGAACAACATAATGTAGCAATTTCATTAAGTGCACAGAGGTCGTACCGGCGGCTTGCAGACAGTCTATGGTCGTGCACTGATCACAGGGAATAAACATCACCACCCGCTCCCACTTGCTCGTGGTGAATTCTCCTGATTATATCCTGCTGCGTTCTCACATCAGCTCACTCTGACTTTCTGCAGAAAAAATACGAGGAGGCCGACAGGAGAAACTCCGGGTAAAGTCAGAGCAAAGAATTCAAACATGGTGCTCACCCCGAAAACTTTTTCAGGAGCTTTTCAGGAGTTTTGTGCAAGTGTCATAGCGATATCAAAAGCAGAGTTATCATTCAGCGTTGATTTTGCTTATCTGTTGCAAACCTAAATGTGGTCTACAATACTGTACATCTGGTATTCCAATAGGAGTGTGAGCAGCTCCAGAAGATGTATGCTGCCCAGCAGGATGAGCGATTTCTTGAGCACACCCAGCAACAGCATATCCTCTACCAGCAAGAGCAACAAATCCTCCACCAGCAAATCCAGGTAAGGCTCACAGAGGTTACCATCCCAAGTTAAGAGTGCACAGTCATGTTTTTTAACCCTTCATGCACTTCTCTTAAAAGTCTTGTTTCAAGTTTTGTGAAGTCTTCTGGTGTATGGAAGGCATAAGTCGTCTTCTGAACTTGATTCCTTTTTTGGGGGGGGGGACACTTACATTCTATTTCAGAACATGCATCATGACATGAAGTGAGGTGCACAATGTCATAATCACATAATATCATGGTATATTAAAGATCTGAGTCAAATGTTTTTTTTAAATCCGCAGGGTCTGTCTTTAGGCCATGGGGAGAGCCAGCCCAGTCACCTAACCCACCAGCTCCAGAGGTACACACACACACACACACACACACACACACACACACACACACACACACACACACACACACACACACACACACACACACACACACACACACACACACACACACACACACACACACACACAGTATTACTCATCGGCTATTGAGCGGTGAACAATGAACTTGATACCGTGGTGCAGTGCTATCGACTGAAGTGTTACATCATTGTCATATCTCTCTCTCTTCTCCTCTCCTACTCCACGCTGTCCTCCCTCAGGTTGCGTATCCAGCCCTCCAGCCCTCCGCCAACACATCCCAGCAACCACCTCTTCAGACAGCCCAACCAGAGCCCTCCGCCCGGCTCTGCAGGCATGATGCAAGGGCATGGTTAGTAATACTGTTGCTAGAGTGCTCGAATGCTCATCATATAGAAACAAATGTAGAGAAGTCGTGTTTTTTAAATGCTGGTTTTGTTCTCACAGGTTTTCTTTATAGGGGACTTGTTGCTTCAGGGCTCACTGCTAACTATTCACTCATATTTTAGCCTTACATTTGTTATCCATTGTTATGATGGTCGACCTGCTGCATCTGTATTTATACATAAAAGCATGCAGCCATAAGTGCTTCACTGAAGAACAAAAAGAAAGGAAATAATAATTGAGATTAACAGCAATGGCTAAATGAATGATTTATGAAGATTTCTAAAATCAGGACATTGTCACAGCTCAAAGACCTGGAAAAAGTCATCCATGCCTTGATATCATCCAGATTTAATTACTGTAGCTCTCCTGATTTTGGTGTCTGATATTTGCCTCCATACATCAATTACAACTTGTCCAGAATGCCGTAGCCAAACTGCTATAGAAGAACAGGAACATCACTGCCATACTAGCATCCCTCCATTGGTTTTCCGTTTGCATATAAAGCCCTTCATGGCCTCGCTCATACCTATATTACAGAACTCCTGTCCACATAGAGTACAGCCAGACCCCTCAGATCACCTGATCTGGAGCTATCAACCCTCCCATGTACACATCCAAAAACTTCCAAAACTAGTCCCTATTACAGGCCAGATTAAAAAGACTGGTCTTTTGTTTCTTTCTAAGAGTCCCCAGAGAGCTCATCACTTTGATATCGAGACACAGGGTGTTGTATATAAATCTAAAACAAAAGATCTCTCTTTGTGCTCGTGTGGAAAAACATGAAGCACATTTAAAAGGGAAGCATTCAAGGAACTTTGTGATTTGGCTGGAAAATTAGATATAAGATCTGCGATATGTGGACCAGCAAGGTGATGTAAAATCAATTCTAAAAGAAAACAGTCACATTAAGCTTATGATTGTTAATAAATGTTCATGTTGGATTTAACTCGATTTTAATGACGTCTCCTTCCCACCAGGAGGCCCGTCACCAGTGCAGTACCAGCACGGTACTCAGGCTCTGTATCAGGGCCAGAGTGGCAGCCCACCTCCCACAAGCATGGCTCGAGTCTCTCTACCAACCAGTCAACAAGCAGCGTCTGTTCGCCCCACCGTCCCGTTGGCTCCAGGTGTACCTCAACAACAGCAGGTGAATGCAGAGAGCCTGTGAAATCTGTGTTTGTCATTGTTCTCTGCTAAAACATATGTATAACCGTTATAACTCCAATGATGTCACACCAACTAAAAGTGGAAGAATTGGGGGCACTGGTAGTCTAGCGGTTAGTGTGCACCACCCACCTACAGAGGCCAAAGTCCTTTAGAGCAGGTGACCCCGGTTCAAATCCAACATGCAGCTCCTTTCTACATGTCGCTCCTCTCTCTCTCTCTCTCTCTCTCTCTCTCTCTCTCTCTCTCTCTCTCTCTCTCTCTCTCTTTCCAGTTTCTGACTCTATCCACTGTCAAAGAATTTTAAAGCTTATCTATAGTGAATGTTTGCATTGATTTTTAATTTGTGTTCTTTCTACAGGTGACCATTCAGGTTCAGGAGGTTGAGCTGAGTGGTGGGGCGCAGAGACAGGGCACCTTTTTGGTGACGCCAGGTGGACACAGAGTGCTCGGGAAGCAGCTGAGTGCAGACAACGCCGAGTCGCACAGGTGACCCCACCCATCATTTCACCACGTCACCTGATGGCAGCCAAACCCTCCCCTCTGTACCAATGGATTGTTTCTGTGTCTTCTCTTGTTTCATTTTTGTTTTTATAACACTCTCCATCACCTCACCACGTCCACACGGTCATCCTCTTCGCTGTATTTGATATCTTAATCACTGAATGCTTCTGACTGCTTGGTTTGTGTTTCATTTTTCTGCCATGTCTTTTGATTTTCTTTTCATTTTATTTTGAAACTTCTGACAGTAATACAGATCTTCAGACCAGAGCTTTAGTTTTCAAGAGGGTAAATTATCTGTAGTATTAAAATTAATGTAAATACGTCATGGACTTTGCTGAGATGACATCCTCAACAAGTCCTTGGCCTCATAGTAGCTGGGTGAGTGTGGTTGGATCTAAATGTTTTTTGAAGCATTTGTAGTGTACAACATCAGTCATCCTGAGACCCCTCGGCACAACCGACCCACAAGCAGACTCTGTCACCAGGCCTTCACTGAGAGAATGTGTAACCTCCTTCCAATACATACTTGCTTAACATTTATCCTTTACAAATGTCTTTACACCTCTCAGTGAATGCTTGAACTTGGACCCAGCTTGCAGTGTTTCCTTGGTTTTATGTGTGCAGTGATTTAATGGAGGCTTCCTGTAGATTGTTGAAAGATAGACCATGTGTTTGCACAGTCAAGAATGTTTGTGAGCATTTTGAAGTCAAACAACTGGTAGATAATTAGCTCCTGCGTTTCCTTTTCCTATCCAGTCGCAGCCTTGGCCGCTTCACGTCCGCCTACGATCAGACCCAGTTCAATCCCCACCTCTTTTCTGGTGATGTCACCTCCCGTGCTGGCGGAGTGGTCGGCTCCTACAACCCCTACCTGCAGGGAGCCTCCCTCAAAGTCCCTGGACTGGATGGTTATCAGAGTGGGGTGGTGGGGACTGGTGGCTATGGTGCCCCGTCTACACTACAGCAGGCCCTGCTTTCCCCGACTCCTTTGGACTACCGCCCCCCTCAACAGCACGTCACCCCCACCCTGCAGGGCCTCCTGTCCCCACGGCACTCTTTAACAGGCCACGCTGATCCCAGACTGCCCCCTCAAGACTTGGCTGCCCTCCTGAAGAGGCAGAGCCCCCGGCCATGTTCAGCAACCCCAACACCACCCAGTGGTGCACCCCAAGAGTATGGAGAGATGTTGCTCCTCCGCCAGCTGAGCCAGGGTGAGGTCTTGGAGCCACCTGCACCCCAGGGCGCCCCTGGAGGCCAACACTACCACCACCTCCTCCAGATTCGACCCCCAGATGTCCAAGCACCCCAGCACCCCGCCCAGGCTCCTTGTCCCAGCTTACCTCACTCGGAAAGCATGGAGGAGGATGATGTGCCGGCTGCCTACCACCACCCACATGAGGGCCTGCTAGTCAAGGCAGTTGAAGCTCATGAGCTCCTGGGGTCTCCTAGAGGGGGAACGCCACCCTACAACTCACCTACACACAGGCATGGTGGCTTCATTAGGAATGCTCCAGCACCTCGAGGTAAGACCTGTTTCTGAAGTTTCAGAGATGAAGTTTATTTCTCGCTTGCCTTGGGGGGGGGGGGGGGGGGGATCAGTGCATAGTTTAACCTTTGTGTATATATACTTATTTTTTTGTCAGAACCTGAGCACGTGGAATGCAGGCCTCAAGGGCAGGCCATGGAGGTGCCTGATCATAACGGTGTGGGCTATACTCGAGGTCCACAAGGTGACGCCTATAGGTCCCGTGGACAGCTACAGCGCCACCACACCATCCAGACCTGTGATGATGCCTACGTGAGACTTTACTGCTCATTTTGTTGAACATGCTGTTCACACACTTTATGATAAGCTGTAGAGAGTCTAGCGTTGGCTTCACTTTTGAAATAGGAGACACTAAAGGGATGTGATTCTTCTGGATTCCATCGTGACTTAAACAATCAATGACAGCATTTCCCACATTGTTTCCTTTAGTGTAGTTATTTATTTTTCTGAGAAGAAAACAAAGTTGGGTGGAGAAACAGAAAGCTCCTCATAACAAGCTGCCCAGAGACTGTGTGTCCTACTTTTAATGGGAAGAACTTTAGCCTTTCATTATAAACCCTGACACAAGGAGGAGGCGGAGTTCTCTGGTCAGTGAGCGTGTAGGATCACCTGGCTCTGCTCATAAAGGCAGAGAAGAGCAAACAGGAGACCAGGTTTCAATAAAGTCATTGTAATCACTGACGTCACTTTTATTTAGTAGTAGTAGTAGTAATCATTTATTTCGGTCACAAGAAAAAACAAAAACATTTTGACCGAAAAGGTGTAGGCTGAAGCTTTAGCTTATTACACCTACCCTAATCTTATTATTTAAGACACTACTAGTTTGGTTACAAAAAACAAAACAAAATTTGTTCCAAGAATTTTTTTCAAAACAAAACAAATGAAACAAACAAAAAACAAAACAGGAGTCACACTCACATAAAATAATCAAACTGACCTTTTATATTTGTTAAACACCATTTTCTTTTTTTTTTAAACAAAAATTGAAATCTGGATCACATGTATGTTGAGTTAATTCTCACAAGACTGCACAGAAACACGTCCATTTGGCGGGAAGCGGGTACTCATTTCCAACCCTGGCATCGACACACTTTTAGCATGCCCAATAATCCAAACAAAGTTTTGACTCATTAAGGCTTCTAGAAGCACATCAAGCTCTATGAGATGTTTTCTGAAATTACAGGATCAGGCAGACCCCATGTCTGGGATGAGCCTGATGGCTGGGAAGGCACTAAGCTCAGCTCGCATGTCGGACATTCTCAGCCAAACGTCACTGACAGGAAGCCAGCAGCTGCGCCAGCGGGAAGAGTCAGGTTAGTAGGAGGCCAGCATCCCTCTTCCTTTAAATTACACCTAAAAAAATGTGTGTTTTTCTTTTCTTTTTTATCCATGTAAGTAAAAGATGTTTGTCTCTCTTGCAGTGTGTGATGTTGAAGAGGAGCTCCATGCTGCAGCCTGCTACCCCTCCTCCTGCACCAGTGACATGCTCCTCAGCTACAAGCCCCCTGACCTGCAGTACAGCATGGAGCAGGCCGGGGTTTAGCACAGGTACACACACACTAACACACAGAGCTGCCTTAGCTTTTCCACCAGGCACCTTTTGGTTTGGCATCATCTTGAAATGCACTTTTTCAGAGAGTTAATGTAATAAACATGCAGTAACTGTCTTCACTTCCCACTTTCATGGTTTACTGAACATAAAATGTTACACCTTATAACCCAAACATTATTGATCCCATAAAGGATTGGCTCTCATCAGGTTATAAATGAGGTGACACGCTCTGAGACACAAGTGTAGCTTGGTGCTTTTTTAGTCATTTCTGATTTGTTGATATCGTTTGTCACAACTCGTCTCCCCCCGTCTTGTTCTTCTTGCAGGACGGGGTCTATCCTGCATACAGCGGTCCATATCAGCCATCCTGAGTTGTGTTGACTTGAGTTGAGCAGCATCACGCCAAATCACCATCGTCTGCCCAAGCGAGGGCGCTCTACGTCCATCTTGTCTGTCTCCATCTGTCCCTGGGAGGGCAGGTTCAAAACTAGAGTGGGGGAGTGTGGGTGGGTTATAGACATTATAGGGGAGGGGGGGAACAGGTAGGGCCCTTGGGTTTTTAAGTGCCAGCAAATTCTGTCCGTACATCCAGCGATTATAGCTGTGGGTTGTCTCCTGTTTTTAGCTTCCATCATGCGTAGATGGGGGTTTCACTCCTCCCTCTTTCGGCTCCGCCCCTCCCCATGACAAGCCTGCCCCTCCTTCACGCCCACCTGCCGCCCAAACCAACTCCTCCTCTTTAACCCCTTTGTCCTCTTATAACTGTTGGCATACTTCATTATGTGCCTCAATGGCCAACGCATTGATACTGTCATACTTTCAAATACATAAGAGTCCAATAACACAATAAGCATACACACTGCTGCCACAAACCCAAAGTATTCACGTCAGTTGTGAGTGTGTGTGCGTGTGTGTGTGTGTGTGTGTGCGTGTGTGTGCGCGCGTGTGTGTGTGTGTGTGCGTGTGTGTGTGCGTGCATGGCTGACCAGAAGAGGTGAGCAGAGGGAGAGGTGTGTGAGGTTCAGTCTGCTCCTCTGCGCCCCCTCCCCTCCTTCTGTCCCGCAGCAGATCATTCCGGAGCAGGCTGAAGTCTCGGCGGCAGCGGCCCCCTTTTGTCGGCCGTGTGGCGGGTGTTTGGGTCAGGGTCTCCAACATGGGCAACCAAATCGCTCTCTCCAAAGATGGAGCTCAGTGACATCGCACAGGACAAACCAGCTCTCATTAATTTTATGTTGTTTTTTTTTTTTTTCTCATTCATTTTCTTTTAAAACTATTTTTTACGGCTTATGTCCCTGTAGGCATTATGGTCAATATTGTTACTCTTATTGTTATTACTGTTTTCTGTAAAAGAGGTTTTATTATAATGAATATTATTATTATTATTATTATTATTAAAGGAAAAAAAAGTTCTGTGTTGCAAAGATGACAACATTGTTCTTTGATTACTTAAGTAATTTCTGCACTTTCGGTTCCAGCTATCCTCTCTTGTCCGTTTCTTCCTCGCAGCCCCCTCTGCTGCGCCCCCGTTTCCCACCATGCTGTTACCCTGCTTTCAAAAATCCTACTCCCCAAACTTCCCCCCCACCTGACTTGTGTTACCCCCCTTTTTCCATGCTCCTCCTCCCGTTCCATGTCAGTGACCGTGTATTGCATTGTGAGTAGTTTTACCAGACATTTGCTCCTTTCCTTGTACAGTAACGCCATGTATAGAACGCTATTGCAATTTCTGTATGAAATCTTCTTTTTTGTTACATTTCTTTGTTGTTTTTAGACGTTGTTGGGGAGGCTTTTTTTATATTTGTATTGTTTATCATTTGTATTTTTGGATGTCTTTAAAATCTTTTTGTTTTTTTGTTTAATGACTCTTTGAGATTTCTAGCCAAAAGAGGACGGAGAGAAGAGAGACGGTGCTCTCTCTGTGTCGTTAAAAAAAAAAAGATTGTTCTTATTTGTTTTAATATTGTTCTATCGAGACACTTGAAAAAAAAAGAGGAGGTTAATTATTATTTTGTGTTGCTTTTTAAAGTTATCATTTCAATTGATGTTGTTGTGACTGTCATTCTTGTTGAAGCCTGTTTTCTGTTACTGGTGGATTGGGAGGGGGGGGGGGATTTGTGGCAGGCTATACAGGGTCAGGCTTTGGGTTTTGTTTGGGTTGGTCCGGGTGCTACAGAGACTTGACACAAGTAAAAACAAAAAGACAAAAAAAACGAGGGAGTAACTTGTAAAATAGCTGACATATCATCCCAAACATCACGAGCGTGGAGATGGACAAACCCCACTTCTCCATTCTCTCTCTCTGGCTGCGCTACCTATCTGCTGTGACCCCACCCACCAACTTAGAGGACATCGGCTTGTGATTGGACGGACAACGCCTTAAGGACGTGGTCCCTCCTCCCCCAAGCTCACCTAGTTGCTATGGCAAGCAAGGAGGATGACTACAACTACTATATTACTGGACTCCCATGTTTCTTTTTTTTTTTTCCTTTAACATCGCCTATTTGGACCTTTATTTGCTCCCCCCCCCCCCCCCAGAGCCTGGATGGGACGGTTGGAGGAGGACACAGCTGCATTTCATGAACAGTTGATGTCTTGTTGTAGTTGGGATACACCTGGAAACATCTCCTAAACAAAGAAGGGAAACATTTCAGGGGGTGACTGCAGGAAGTAACTGAACTGTGGAATCAGAACTCCTAAGCAAGAGGAATACAGCCGGGGGGGGTAACTAAATCATATCCATCGAGGTCTGAGCCCGAAGCTGAGTCAGGCTCGAGTGCAGCCAGATGGGAGGCTACCGCACCCTGGGGACCACAGCTGAAGGTTGAACCTCTCCCTTATTAACTTCTATATATCCGCCTCTTGACACCCCTGGATGTTGAGTCGACATGGAACCAGCGAGAGACTTTGGTGACATATTAAAGCTCCACTTCTGTGTTCACACGGGCTAAACCGACTAGCTAACTCTTTGTACGCTACATACGTAAATACAGAGGGGTGAGGATGGTGTCACGCTGCCTATGCTTACCATTAACACAATGTTACTTTCTGTCTACCCACCTCCACGCTTTCCTGGGAGAGGGCGGGAGTAGCTTTGGTGATAAATCCAAAAAACAGGAGTATACAGTGAAGTTGGATTTGCTCATTCTTTTTAAAAAAACAAGCCAAAACAAAGACGATAGAGAGAGAATGTTGGGAGTGCTTATTGGGGATTTGAGAGGAAACTTCTGGAATCAAAGACACTGCATGTTTCCTGTCCCATAGCAGGATATGAACTTTCAAATTAAGACCGGAGGCTCCACTTGGTCTGATGGCAGAGGTGTTGTCAGATCAAGGGGTGAAGTTTGGCACAGAAAGTAACAGTTTCAGTAAATGGGAAGCATTGAACATTTTGTTGAGATAATGTCATCTTCTGCTTGTTCAGACTGACCCCTGCCCCCCCCCCACATCCCACCCTTTTTCTGTCTTAACTCCTCCATCCCTCCCTCCTCTATTTTTGTTTCCTGATCGCAGCCTCCCTGCTCAACAAGCCAGCTCTCTGCTCTGCTCCTGTTCTTTAGGTTCATTTTGTTTTATATTGATTCATTTTTGTCTGTATTTTTTTTTTCTGTTGTTTTGTTTTTATGTTCATTTCTGTTGAGTACAAAAATACTAAAGTGCAACAACAATGATTAAAAAAGAATATCAACCAAACTGAGATGATAAATAAATATATATAAATAAAGAAATAATTTAAAAGGTCATGACTTGTGTGTCTTTTTGTTGGATGCTACAAAAAAACCCTCGTACCTTTAAAGTTAACTTGCAGATCCCCGTTTTAGAACGAACATATAGTGTTACAAAGCTGGATATCCAAACTGAATGTGGGCAAAGTGTCAGATCAAGAGGTAAATGTATGTTGGAGTAATCCCAGGATGAGTCTGCAGAGGGCGCTAAATGGTTTAATCTGCAAATCATGCGATATGAAACCCAAGAATTTCTGTTCTGCAAAGTGTTGATACCTCTTCCATAGACTCTCTTCTCCCAGTACTGAAGATCAGCCCTCCCCTGGCAGCCCTGCAGCGTTCTGCCCCCCCTTCCAGAGAGCTGACCAATCAGATGAAAGTGGGTTATGTGGGGACCAGTTAAACTGAAGGTAGCTGATGGCTAGCTTTAGCGTCATCTGACTGCATCAAAATGGTTTGAAAGCATGGTTGTTCAGAGGTGTTAAGTGCATTTGGCTTTTCTGTAACAAAACCTCATCAATCAAACAGAAAAAAGTGCTTTCAATGTCTCATGAGCAAATGTAACCTACTCTCTGTATCTGAAAGGTTGTCAGTTTTTAATCCATTGGTCCATCTTCAGGTGCATGTCCCGTTCATCTACAGAGGGAACGGTTTTCTGCAGATCCTCTTTCTCCTGTACAGACCTTTGAAAAGTGGTCCACATAAAGAAGAAAGTCAGATCCTCTGCAGTGGAAAAGATCGGTCCCCACTTTCTCCCATGGTCTTTCCAGTACTGGGTGAGGGAGTAACGGCTCCCTTGGGTTTACTCTTTCTGTTCTCATTACAAACGGCCCATTGGGATCAAACTGTCTCCTCATTATGTGAAGACTACGTTACATTACGTTTGGCCAATACAAAATGTCTCATGACTCATGGATTATGTTTAGCATTTCTTGTCTCAGATGATGTGGAATAAGGAGCTTTCAGTCCAGGTGTGTGTGTGATATCTCTTAATGTCCAGGAGGACTTGAAGTCCCCTCAGTGTAATCTTTTTCATAGCTGCACTTCAGGGTCCTCTGCTATGGCTTTTCCAAACTTATGCAGCTTTTTCTCTGAGACTGGTAGCTGAGTTGAAACAATGCTCTCTCACCTCCAACCCTTTCTCCAGCAGATCTTCTTTCTGCTCTTTGAGGAATGCTCGGCTTCAATCTGTAGTTCCTTGCCTGGCCTGTAGGTGACACTAAGGCTCTCATGTATCTTTGCAGCCTTAAAGCAGCATCCTCTGTAGCCGCATGGCAGCTTGGTGGAAAGGCTTTTAAAAGATGCTTTCAAGCAGCTTGTGGTTGCTTTCTACATTTCTGTCTTTTCCATAAACATACTGGTTACATTTTTCACAACCGTGTTCAAAAGCAAACGGATCTGTCTCGATCTGCATGTACCTGCACTGACAGCCAGCGAGTGCTCTTGACCCGTGTGCTACAGGCCCTCCATCCTTCAGTATGACCTCTCCGCTGCCCTCTGAGCTTGCATTAACTAAGCGTGTGAAACTTCAGAGTTGGAGCGTTGATGACTAGCTGGTTGAGTCGAGTCGTTTGAAACTCCTCTTCTGTGCCACCTTGAAAACTTCAGGAGCTTTTCAGGAGTTTTGTGCGTGTGTGAAAGCACTACAGGACAAGATCAGCCTGGAGATTAGAGACGTCACTTTGTCCACAGAGGGCACCAGAAATGACTTAAACAGAATGTCCCATTGGAGCTGTCATGTTACGTTTAATAATGTGATACAGGGCCAAAATGTCTAAAATATGCAGCTTTATATAAGCTTTGTTGACATGTTGTATTAATGATCTATGTATGAGTTATACATTATTTTTTACGTCCAAGTAATGGCAAATTAAAATCCTGTAATTTGCAAGGGGCACTTTAAACTGGAATTGTGCATACGTGCAGGAAATACACCTAAGTTATATGAGAGTGTTTCCTTTGTCTGAGTTTGAGCTGCAGTGCTCTGCATGCTGCTGCTCAGGTCTGTACAGCTGCACTGCAGAGGCTTTCCAGTCTGAAGTAATTGAGCTCAGACTGTGTGAGCCATGTAGAGTCTCAGCCTTTGTATATTATCTAGGATTACTTTAACCTGAACGTGAAGGATGGAAGAGAGAAAGGAGATATGTGTATCCCTCTGAATTCACAGCTCACTTGCCTCTATCCACCACAGCTCTGTGTTCAATCCCCGAGCAGATCGTTAAAAATCGATGTTGTGCACAGAAGTTCTTCTCTTCTGTTCTATCCTGTAAATCCTCCTCCTCTCTCCCATTTGGCTCTTTTTTTTTTGCATTTGTCACGAGTCTGTGCCCACGGCTTCCCTTGCTCCCTCTCTTTATTTCTGCATCCTCTACCTTTCTCCCTGCCTTCATTTTCTCCTCTCTCCTCCTCTCTTTCTCTCTCCTCATCTACCTGCTCCTTTTTTCACCTCCCTCCCTCCCTCTCCTCATCCCCTTCCTCCCTTCCCACTCTCTCCTCTCTGGAGTGGCGGCAGCGTGACTGCCTGCGTCACCCAGCCAGCTAGTGAATGCTGCTACTGGAGCTGCCGTACCCTGCACAGAGCCCTGTGTGTGTGTGTGTGTGTGTGTGTGTGTCCGGTGTGTGTGTGTGTGTAATTGTATGAGTGTACGCAGATGGGAAAGCAACTGAGTCAGGGAGGGCTGCCTCTCATCGCCTTGCTGTTATCACCATCCTTCACTCTCCCTCCTCTCCTCCTCTGCTGCCATGGAGCTCCAGCAGGCTGAATCACAACATCGTCTGCAGAAAGCGCTGAGGTAATACTGAATGTGTTGTACAGGGCTTTTTTTCTTTTCAAAAACTGTATTTAAGTGCACACATCTGCAATGAAATGCCTGCATGCAGCCTCTTTGTAAACCCACAGTGTAATGTTTAGCGCTTATCTGCCTCATCATCACATTTCTTCTGCATGTCAGTGAAATGCCAGCATCCTCAAGATGAAGAAGAAGAAGAAGAGCTGGAATACCTTCTAGCATGTCTGTGCATGCTCTCTTGGTAGTGCCAAATGTGTAGGAATCTGAGTGTTTCCTTGATGGCTCAGTTCCTGCTTTCTGAGTTTCTCACACTGATCACGTGACCTATATAGCAAAGCAAGCACAACACATTACTCATTCCCTGCACTCACTGTGTGTGCCTGTGAACAAACAGCATCAATTCAAGCAGGCCTGTGAATGTGTGGAGTTGTAGTGAAAGGGCAAGTGTGCAAACCAAAGCAGGACAAGGCGTTAAGTCACTGGAGAAGTGAGAGAGGCTTTTCTCCATTGCTGTGTCCTTGTTATATTGCTTTAAATGTTTCTCTTCTGAAGCGCTGTCTGCTTTTACAAATCCCAACCAATAGAATCAACGTCTTTACAGGGAGGATAACAGAATGACAAGTTATACCTGCACCCTCATGTGCCCACACTGGATTAATCTAAAGGGAAAGATTTGGATTTGTGAGCTTGTGTTTTGAGAAATCTGTCTCTGAAATTTCTGTTCCTATATAAACAAAGAGCCATGTGGCAGCTGTGGCTCAGTGGTAGAGGCGGACGTCTCTCAACATGAAGGTCAGAGGTTTCTTAAGTATCCTTGGCCAAGACATTGAACCCTAAATTACGCTGCTGTGTGTGAATGCATTTGAATGGCGTAGTAATATTGAGTGCTTTACGTAGCAGCCTCTGCCATCAGTGTGTGACATGTAAAAGCGATTTGAGTAGTCAGAACACTAGACAAGCTCTATACAGGTCCTTTTACCTTATCATGGAGAATATATAAAGCCTAAATATAAAGTAATTGTCTGCATGTTATTTCCTCTCAGCAGGTAGTTGTGTGTGTGCGGTGCTCCGTCGGGCCAATATGGAGCGCGGGTGTCTGAGACGGTGGGCGTCGGGCTCTGCTGTAGTGTTCCTTCACACACTGGCCTTATCATGGACAGGTAAGACTCAACAGTACCTTACAGCTCACAATACCTGCTGCCTTACACTATTATTATTATTATTGCACAGCACCTGTTTTAATGACGATTGAGTTTAAAAAAAAAAGACATCCATGTTGTTTTTGTCTTTTCTAATTTCACTAAAAGGTGGTCTTCAATAATATTTAAAAAAAGATATTTGAAACAAGTTTATTCAGGGAGTTAATTATTTTTTTTAGGTTGTTTCCTTTTGGAAAATAAAAAGTGTAATATTTGTGGAATTTCTCTGTACATACATCTAACTTATGGCTGCATGGTGGTGCAGTGGTTAGCGGAGGTTCCTGGTTTGAATCCCCGTCTGACAGGAGCCTCTCTATGTGGAGTTTGCATGTTCTCTCCGGGTACTCCGTCTTCCTCCCACAGTCTAAAGACATGCTCCTTAGGTTAACTGGGGACTCTAAATTGTCCCTAGGTGTGAATGTGAGTGTGTCTGGTTGTCTGTCTCTATATGTCAGCCCTGTGATTGGCTGGTGAACAGTCCAGGGAGTAACCCCGCCTCTCGCCCAATGACAGCTGGGATCGGCTCCAGCGCCCCCGCAACCCTGAACGAGAGCTCTGGTTGCTCAAATTTTGGAAGGTAGCTGGTGTTTTTACTACGATGGATATGGAGGTTTAAATATTGTAGAAGCACAACCCGAGCTTGTTTCTTTGTCCGTTAGTGCGCCCAATTGAACAACAACCATTTTTTAATTCAAACAATAAAACCGTTTAAAACACGTTAGAGGCAAATGAGGCTGTACCGTGTAAGATCCTTGGACTGAAGATTGTAAGTCCCTGAACTCTTCTGACTGATGTAGGGTAGAAGGCACGCAGGAAGCAGACCTAATAAGAGTATGATCGTGTTAGAGTCTACTTATAGATGAAGAAGACCGTCCAACACGTGCATTAAAAACAAACTGTGAAAGAGTGAGTATGAACATTGCTGTCTGTTTCGTCGGCCTTGATAGAGCTGATTATTTGTACAGTCTACACCTTTTTAGTACAACAGCAACTTGTATTTTCAGGTGCTATTGAACCCGCCCCAAAAATTGACGGACGGCACCGAGCAGCTTTGACACTGCAGGAGAACATGACGCACCGGTTCAGCTGCCAATCAGACGGCTGGGATCCCCGCGCCCCTCCCCTGCTAACCTGGTACCTGAACGGGGAACAACAGAGAGCGCCATCACCCAACCGTGGACGCCTGGTGATGACATCGAAGGAAGATTCTGATTTCATGAGACCAGGGGCCAATCCCAACAGCAACTTCTCTCTGCGGGCCAGGAAGTGGGACAGGGAGCTGGTGTGTGTGGCGTCAGACCCCAGGACGGGAGAGAGCTACAATGCCACGGTCACACTCAATGTCCAGTGTGAGTCTGTGTGAAATCAGATTTCTTCCATTAAAACGATAACCACAGTAGATAAAGTTCCTCTCCTCTCTTCCATAGTTCAGCCAGAGATCCTCAGGGTGAACGCCCACTACAGTGCAACCTCGGACCCTGGCCTCTCCCTGGTCCTCTTCGCCTTGATCCGCTCAAACCCGCCTGCCACCATCACCTTCGTGGACCAGTCCGGCCAGCCAGTAGCCAACACCTCAGACTTCCTCATCCTGGATTCACGAAGCTACCCATGGCTGACCAATCACTCTCTAAGGGTCATGCTCAGCAGCCTATCAGGAAACATCTCGCTCAACGCCAGTAACAGTGTGGGAACTGTGCAGAGCAACCTCACACTGGCAGGTGGGTGATGGCGAACGGACACTCATACAGTCTCTGTAATGCTAAGATAACCATCTCTTCGGGCGTTTTTACACCTGACCTGTGGTTTGGTTAAAACGAACTTGAGACCGTTCATTTTTGGCACTATGAATGCTGTCAACCAAACCCTGTTTTGTCCTTTTTCCTCTCCCTCTACTTGTCTCTCCAGAGTTCCTGCAGTCTCGTGTTGAGGTGCCCATGCTGGGAATAGTGACCGGAGGAGCCATGGCCTTCATGGCGCTCCTCATCCTCAGTCTGATCGTTCTCTGCCTCATGCAAAAAAACAAGAGCAAGTCCATCGGTGAGACTGCAGTGTGGAATGTGCATTGTAGTATGTGACACTAATTTTAGATGTGTAATACATCTTCATCCTGCATTTGTGTTACAGATGAGCCAGTGGAAATTCTGATGACCAAGAAAAGGTAAATAAAGACTTCCGTTTGGGGATGTTTTTTTTTTGTGCCGTAAAAGTGACACCAACACTGGTGGAGAAACAGTCAGCAGGTAACAATAACCAGACATGTTCGTAGAGGATTTATGGTAGAGCTAGTTGGCTGTTTCGATCCAAAAGTTTGTTGTGGCCTAAAGCGATAATTTACAGGGGGCCCCTCCAACCAGCATTCATCAGACTAATGTCATAAATAATCTGACAAAGTAAATATAGCAAAACGTGAACTTGTTTTTTTTTCCAACTGATTTTAAACATTACCATCATTTTCAAAATAAAGATGTTAAGAACAATAGAACCCTTTATTTCACTGTCAAATGTAGGTTTTCACAGCAATAATACATGCAACAGTCAGCACAATAAGAGTAAGTGCTGTCAAATGGGGCCAACTTAGGTGGGGGTTCCTACTGCCATTGCAAACTTTGCACATAGTTTGTCCTCTACTGGCCTGGGGGGCCCCAAGCGGTTAAACTGCTATGCCTGTTGACAATCAGCGCCCCTGCAAGTTGGTACACTGTTTTTTCCAGATCCAACACCCTGAGGGGATTGCTGCCAACCCTTTGAATCCACATATCCTGTCTTATGGTACGCCTGAGTTTGGCTCATGTTTGCACAAGATTATGCAGAGGTAAAACACGAGATGAAAGGTTTGAGTTTTTCTTAGTTTTTAAAGATCAACTGAATTCAGTCTTAGTTAAAGTAGCTGCCCCCTGCCTGTTATCTAATAATAGATTAAATAGGTGTACTATTCCTTTAAATTGTTAACATTATTTGTAGGATGTAGCTCCACATACAAGTTTGAAACATTGGGCAAAGGTAGCAGGTGTCCTTCAGACTGTTTCTAGATGCTGACTAGGTTTATTGCAATGTTGCACATAAACACGTCACCTGTCACTACTGGAGAATGATACTTTTTTCATATTGAAAATAATCAATATAGGACTGAGGCTTGCAAGTCATGGACACACTCACCTACTTGTTTGAGGTCTTGTCTAATAATTTCCCTCTTTGCATCACAAGTCGATCGGGTGCAAAACACTGATGGAAGCATATTCGTGCTCTTATGAATACTTTATGTCCATCCTGCAGAACAATAACTCATCTAGTCTAGGTTTGATACCTCTCCTCTCCTCCATTGTTCTGCACAGTGAATCTGCCATTCTGAAGGTGGAGAAGGCAGATAAGACCCACATCCCCAGAGAGAACATGTCTCTGCCTTCAAACATGCAGCTCAATGACCTCAGCACGTTGAGAAAAGGTAAGAGCGCAAAAACAGCCTTAGTCACAAAATGCACAACTTCAGCTGTTTCCACAACCAACAAGAAGCAATATGTAACTCTGACACCTAGTGTTTAAAATGGGTACTGCAGTCCAAATTAAAAACATTATAGAGAGCTGCCCCCCCCCCCCCCACCCCCTCCTCTCTAGAGTCCATGCTCACACAGGTTGTCATGTGGTGGACACTGAAGCTTCAGTGTTTATCCAGCTCTGCATCGCTCTGTAAACCTTTCTGTGTTCTAACCTCTCTCCATTTTTCAAAAGCATCTCCAATATTGATCCTAGTTTGAGCACGTTTCTGCTCGTGGAGCTTATTAGAAACATGCAGAGGCTTTTTAGGTCGGGTACAATCACTTCTATCTGAACCACTTCTCTTGCCCGCTTCCATCGCTGCAACACCTGTTGGTTTGACCTGATAACTGCTCTCATATCTGACAAACCGAGGGGCGTCCAAAACAGCCGTGTGGGGGTGTCTTAAAACCGCCTACCTTCTCTGGTCCAAACAAATCCAGAGCATTCAGGACCAGAATCTAAAGTTAGAAGGAGGACATACTGGCTGCTGCATTGTTGTCAGAGAAGCCAGCACTTCAACATGTTCCCTTCATGTCTCGGAGGCGTAATGGAGGGACAAAGTCATCGCCCCTCCGTATCTGGACAGAGGTAGTAACAGAGGTTTCAGCTCAGTGTTGTGTGTTTGTGCACGTCTGACTGTGTATCTATGAGGAGCTCCCGCTTCTGCAACGTCTAAATGCAATGTGAATTAAAATACTGGGACACCAATTTTGTGCCGTTGCGGAATCAATATGAACGTACAAAGACGTGATGACAGCTGAGCTAAGTTACAACACTTTTGCAATGACAGCAGTCTGTATAGGGCTCATGTCCTTTACATTTTTCGGGGCTTCCTTCCTTCCTTGCATTCCTTTTTCGTAGCCCGAGAGGCCGCCCAGCAGAACAGCGTGGGAGAGAGGAGAGCGGAAGAGGAGGAGGAAGATCTGTCATTAGCCTATGCTGCCAGAGGTCAGAGAATTACACTCTGATACTGCTCAATGTTTTAGTACTTCTGAGTCAATGTTGTCCTTTGTTTGAATGTTTTATCTTGATGATTTGCAGGTTTTGCCAGATATCCGATGGTGGGTTACATCTACAAGGTGAACAGCACAAGCAGCGAGGAGATCTGGCTCTGACCAACCACAAAGTTACACACAAACACCCACACACACACACACACACACACACACACACACACACACACACACACACACACACACACACACACACACACACACACACACACACACACACACAGTGCATGCATGCAAAAATACTTACAACAGTGCTGCTGTCCAAGAGGGAACCCAGAACAACTGCCAGTCAGTCATTCAACCAAATATCAGTCGCCCGGAAAAACTACAACACCCAGTTTCGACACACTCTGTTTCTCTGACAGGTTCTCAACTTTCTTGTTCACAAATCAAAAACAATGTTGGTGTTTTTTGTCTTTCTGAGTCAGTGTTCTGGTCCATGATGTGTCGTCTCAATAACCCCAAAGTGTAACCCCGACATGAGAATGCTCATATTCCCTATCTTTAATTTCCTCCTGTAACCATGTGCTCCTCGTGTCCTCCTCCCCGGCCGCATTACTGGAATGCATTACTTGTTCCATGCTTACACCAGAATGTGCAAGATAACGTACTGTATGTGAAATGTGACCGACGCTATCCAAACAAGACGGTACATAATTAAAGATATTTGTATATGAACCTGTAACATGTCATGTACTGTATATTTGTATGCATATGTATATGTGTATAGAAGAGGACGTCTAATAAAGATAATATATAAAATGGTGTGAAGTGGCTGCAAGACTTGGCTGCAGGTGTATTGGCATCCTCCAGGGGGCACTGTGAGGCTTTATGAGGCTGGGTGTGTGTGGGCTTCCTGCTTATCATGAGGGTGTTGAGTTCTTGTGAGTCATTATGAGTGAAAGCTGTGTGTTAAAGCGATTGTTACACTCTGCAAAGACTGTAGTTAACACACTGCTGTCCCTTTTGCTTGACAACAGCAGGCGCACGAGGCAATAATGCATGTCTTTCATTGTGTGTGTGTGTGTGTGTGTGTGTGTGCGTGTGTGTGTGAGCGTGCGTGCGTGCGTGCGTGCGTGCGTGCGTGCGTGCGTGCGTGCGTGCGTGCGTGTGTGTGTGTGTGAGAGAGTGTGTGTGCCAGGTGTAAGCTCTAGGTCGCAGGTTTTTGTGGCTTTAGCTCAAACAGGAAACAGGGTCGTGTTGTGGGAGCATCTCTTTGTACCCTCTCTCTCTCTCTCTCTCGCTCTCTCTCTCTCTGCTGTGTCTTCTGTGCACAGCAGGGAATATAATTTGTCACACACGGCGGGGTAAAAACATTTATGACACACAGGGAATTGAAATATTAATGTGAACACACACACACACGCACACACGGTTGTGTCATGTCTGTTTGTTATAAAGGATGGAGCTGCTCCACATTTCCCCCGGCAACTATTCACTATTCAGCAAGTGGCAATCATTTCAGCTAGAACACACGGCTGGAGGGGGACTCTTATTTCCAAAGCAGATTCTCCTCCACAGAGTTCTGGTCATGGCTTTTGGAGCATATGAAAGCTGTTTAAATGAGTAGAAGAAGAAAGATGATGTACTTTATTACTCCCAGAGTGGAAATTCATTTTTCCCTCTCCTGTTATTGAAACTGCTGCACAAACACGGGCTGAAGTACACACACATGCATTAAAGCTGGCCACACACCAGACGGTTTTAGGCCTGATTTCCCCCCCAACAACGATCGGGGGGGGGGGGGGGGCGTGCCGTGATTCAAGGGTGGCTACCAGCCTGGGACCCCAAGCAGTAGCCACATTGCCTGTTGACAAGCAGCGTCCATGTGGCCACACTTGGTCTGCAGCGAGGCTTGAATCAGTGACCCCCTCCCCTCCTGGTTTCTAACTCCAGTCCCCTCCAGACTGAGCAACTGCTCCCCAATGATATAACCTCAGTATGTACTCTATGTAGTACGTAAATATTGAGTTTGTTAATTATCAACGACTTATTAATTATTCATTCAAGAGAAGAAATTTTCTGTCTGAATTCTGGTGCAGCGAACATTAAAGCAACATGTCGTGAAAGACATTAAGTTCTAATGACACCGGTTTTACAGACACACAAAGACTTCCAGGTGCAGAAAAAAACAACAACAAAGCCTGCTGGGACAGAAAATGAGCCAATCACACTCACTTCCTCCATGCACACACACACACACTCACAATCAAACACTTGAAGAGGCGAGGGCTTGAAGATTTTGACTCGAGGATCACGGCAGCTTCGTAACTCTGAGGTCAGTCGATCACTGTTCATATCTGCTCGTCTGTCAGCTGATGTTAAAATGTGTCGTGCACTGTTCTTTTTAAAGGATCAAAAACCTGAACTCATCATCAGTAAGCCGTTCAAAAAATGACTCGTATAAAATGGTTGACAGAGAGCAGAAAATGGCGCCCCTTCCTGGTTTCTGTCATTCGCTCGCTCTCACTCACAGAGAGCTGATATATTTCCTTCTGTAACCTGCAGAGACGCACACACACACACGATGAGATGCCAGATACTTTGTCCTGTGTCCCTTCTGCTGCTGCCGCTGCTCTGGACTCTGACAGGTAGGTCACCATCAGATATATATTTTTTGAAGGAGGAGAAACTTTATTCAGTAGTTCAGTTTTTATGACTCTCATGAAAGCAAATGAAAGTCCAGTTTCATTCTCGTTTGTGGTGTTTAATTTTAAGCCAAAATGATGTCGACTGCAAACATTTCTTGTGATGAAAACATGCAGCTTTCACAACCGTCTGCTCGCCTGACAAAACATTACTGTGTGTCTATTCCTTTAAACTGAACTTCTTCTAATTTATAACGGGTGATAGATTTGTCATCATGAGCCGTACGAGAAGATCAGTCGGCCTTCTCTTGAAGAGCGGCGCAACAAGCATTAGTTTTATATATTTTCAAGGCCATTATTGAAAACTTCCGCCTTACATCACAGACCTCTTGGAGTGAAATTCCAGGCACCTACATGACCCGTTCTTCTGATTGGCTCGTCCCTCGAGCTTTCACTGAACTCTGCAAAACTGCATTTTCTTTTGATGCCTCAAATTCATGGAGCGCCCTCCAGCAGACTCTGAAGATCGGAGTTCTTCCCTCTTTTGCAGAGTTTAGAATTTGATTTCTAGCCACTTTGTTTTCTAATTGTAAATGTTTTGAATAGATCTCTGTGGTTTGTTGCTGTCGTTTTTTGCTTGTTTTAATGTGTTTGTAATCTCGTCGCCATTGACTGAGAGAATCCTCGGTGTCCTCTCGAGAATAAATAAAGGTTCGATTGATTTGAGTAGTTTACTACTAATGCAAACGTGTGCTGTGTATGTGGAGGTAAAACCCTGATTCTTTCCTCACATATGAAGTACAGTTTGAAGATGAATAGACGTAAAAAAAAAGGAAAATGTTGAGTCGATTTTGCCATATACCTGGCACCAAAGAACCACCACAGAAATCCATCTTAGTTCACACTGCTGCTGGTGATGATCAGGGTCCTTTGCTTAAAGTTGAACGTTTTTTTTTTCTCCTTTACAGAAGCACAAACACCACCAGAATCTCTCATAGAGGTGAAACCTGTCACTGATGGCATCGTGGTGAATTGTAGTAAGGGATGAAATGAAGTCCCCTTATGGTGATCAGGCTGAGTCCTCACATTGTCATACAGGGACAGCAACTCAGGAGAGTACTCATGTGTGGATGAAGAGGGACCCTGTAAAAGCAAAAATCTTTGTGAAATTTCGGAGTAAGATCTGCAGCCAAACTTGACCTTTTGTGTTTCCTTTTTTCTTTGGACTAATTGGCAATTTTGTTCATCCAATAATTGCATTTACACTGAACTCTACGTACATGCTCAAGAAACCTATGTTTTCTGTTTGCCTGTGTCTGTGTTTGCAGCCTGTGACAACTGCATCGAGCTCGACACGAGTTCCATCGTGGGAATCGCTGTTGGAGACGTGGTGGCGACCATTGTGATTGGAGTGGCCGTTTACATCGTCGCTTCTCAATCTTGGATTGGTCCAGTCACGTCCAACAAGAAAGGTAAGTCAATCAATCGAACAATAAAAGGACATTTTAATCTATCAGTCAATGACGGGCTTCATTCACATTCGCTCTGGTCGTTAGAGAACATGAATGGGGTTGTATTAAATTTAGGCAGAATGTTTTTTTTCAAATAGAAGTCGACGTATAAGCAGTAAAATGCACTCACATGGTTTTCCTCTCATTGCTGATATTTTTATATAAATATTATTAACACCTGCATCCCCAGGCTCTGACAGACAGCATCTTGTCCCAAACGAGATGAGCAACAGAGCCTCTAACGATCACTACCAGGTACGCAGAAACACCATGAGGTCTCTAATATTTGATTATCTCGTTTAGAAATGTCGCCATAACTGAAACCATTTGTCTTTCCTTTCCTCCACCTTTCCCTCCTTTAGCCTCTGAAACTCAGAAGTGGTCAGAAAGACACGTATGACGTGCTGAGTAACAGAAGATAGATGGCTGACAGCCCCCTGCCTCGGACGCCAACCACTCCCCCCCACCACCCCCGCTTTGAGCATACTCTTCATGCGACCTTGAAAGTCATTTTTAATGTCTACTTGTTTCATCTTTCCATCTTGTCTCATTTGCATGCCTGTAAGATGTTGCTTCTAATGAGCGGCTCGTTCACCTGCTCAGAGTTTTTCAGCTGTTTTTGTTTCTGTAGCCTTTAAATCGTCCCGTGTGGTATTTTTATTAAATGTCCTTAAGGGCTGATGATGCAGCAGTGACTGCAGACAATGGAGTGTTATTTCATTAAACAAAGCTGATGTTACATTTATATAAAATTAAAGATTGACAAATAAAAACTGTTCTTTCTTGTCATCTTTGCAGCGATTACCAGACGAGGAGAAACAAAAAAATGTTGTCGGCTTAAGTTCAAATTTAACTCACATTTTTTTGATCCACCTCAGTAGAGTGAACATTTCAGGATGGATGCTAACTTCCTGATTTTGTGCAGTCTTGTTTGGATGCATCCTTTCACGAAATTAGTTGTATTTAAACACCCACAATGCTGTTCGAAATTAAATGTAAAACATCACTTCCTGTGCGCCTCCAAACAAAAACAAACGAGGATGGTTGCGGCCGGTTTTGGGTAACGCGCCTTTCAAATGTTAAGTTGTTAAATTGTTAACATGCAGTGTGAAGTTTTGTATTATTCACTGAGCCATCGTGCAGATCACATCTGAGTTGGAGTGTCAATAACATGAGGCGGGCTGATGACTCCACTTCCACCCTGAATGAATCAGACCAAGTAGGAACAAATATCTGCCTACTGAACAGGAGGTCCTTACAGGATACAGCACGGAGAGAAGGGACTGTCTACTGTCAGATTGTGTAGGCACTTTGTAATTCAGAAGCACCCTCTGTATGCCCCGCACCGTCTTGTGACAGCCTTTTAGAGTCTATTTCAGTCTGTTGAACCAAACGATGAGGAATATAAGAAAGAGTGAGCAGTGGTAAGAAGAATTACTCAATAAGTATGAGAAGCAGAGCAGGGAGGAAAGTCTGGAGAGTTAAAATAGCAACAAAGACACGAGGAGGAGGAGAGGGAGAAACTTTCAAACTAACTGTGGAGGAAGCGTCTCGTTGTCAGATAATCTAACTGCTTTAATTCTTTGATCATTTCTCCGAGTCTTTCGCCTCACACTCGACACCGCTGTGACAAAGATACAAACTGCAGCTCTCTACCTGAGGAGTACCGAGATCAAACGACGAAGCTAAGACAGCTCGGCTCAGTAACACAACCGACACAAACACACAAACACACACACACACACACACACACACACACACACACACACACACACACACACACACACACACACACAGACCTATTCTGACTCGTTGTTTGTGTTCTGCATAATCCGACCGCATGTTCTCCTCGAGCAGATGTAGACCAGTGTGTGGGAACAGTTAGACTCATAGAGGAGCTCATTTGAACCCCTCCCCCCGGTTTCTCTTTGTTTTACTCTCACACAAACACACAGTAGATGAAGATGATACGTGTGGGAGTGTTTCCACTGCACAAACTGAGACGCACACTGTGTTGCTGAATGATGAATTAGTAGAAGTCTGAAGAAGAGATTTTACATGTCATGTTTCCTGCTTTCATTTCCATCAGTAAAGACGTACACACTGGCAGCTGTGTGTGTGTGTGTGTGTGTGTGTGTGTGTGTGTGGGGGGGAACTTGGTATTTGTTACATAAACATCTCAGGCGTCGTCCACAAGTAGCCGGGTATCTTTGAAAACGTAGCTGTTTCTGTGTGTTCTGACATTTCGTACACAAACTGCGCTTTAAGTCACTGAAAACTCACCTTTAAAAAAAACTCCTTCCAGGGAGAAGATGTTCAGAAACTCTGTTTAAGGGCGCGGTCACACTGGCCATCTGTACTGTGCCGTACTCAAGCACGATTGGCCCCCCGATGCGCCATTCCCAAGCTGGCCGGTCACACTACACAGGACTATCCGTGCCTAAGCACGACTACCTCTTGTACATAACGTCGTAATACAACGCATGCACGCTTTATGTTATTATGAAGCGTGCTCAGTTTACAAACAGGCGGACGAGAGAGAGAGAGAGAGAGAGAGAGAGACGCGCAGTCGAGTCCGCGTCTGCACATCAGAGAACAACACAGAGAGCATGACAGCTACTTTACTGACTTTGCGTCTTATTTTAAGCCATTTTAATCAGACACAGCCATAAATAAATGAAAAATGAAATAGACGCGCGGCCAAGTTAGCGGCCGAGTCTGTGGCCGAGTCCATGGCCGCACATCGGAGAACAACACAGAGAACATGACAGCTACTTTGTGGTTTATAATGTGTCATGTTAGTCAGATACAGCCATGAAACTCTGGATTTCTCCATAATGAAGGCTGTCAGCGTTGTGTACCCGCGTGCTCGTGCATGAAGTGTACCGTGCCGAAGTGTGCCAAAAGCCAAGGAAGTGTACGGTGCCTGAACACGACACGGAGCGGTCACACTGGCCAAACGAACTGGACTTTAGGGTTGAAGCATGCTTGGGCACGGTAAGTATGGTAAGTATGGCCAGTGTGGCCAGTGCGGCCGTGTCCTAGGGTGTTTCTGTGTAGATGGGGAAAACAGAGTTTTGTTCTTGTAACTTAAAGCTATGCGCCGGTTTCTCCTCCGTTTGACGACATCTGGGGATGATGATGCCGGCTCGTCGTTCATTTGGAGATAACGAGAAATGAACTCATTATCACATGATGATACAGCGTTGTTGCCCTGAGACAATGAGATAAATAACTCAAGATGATTCATTTTTCTACCTTTGACATTCATTTTTATTCTGTTGGTGCCAAAATAAAATAAAATAAATGGAAAGAAGTGAGCTGAGAAACTAAATACGGGAAAGGAAAAAACACAATCTGACGAGCAAAACGAAACAAAACGTGACGTGTTTCCATTGTGAGTACAAAAACAAGCATGTTTCTGCAATGAGAAATGTCAGATGTTTCCATAGACAGCCTGCCGTGCCTCTGACAGAACACAGTATGTAGTGTTGGCTGACATTGATGCTGATCGTGTGCATGCATGTGGGCGCTGTACGGATATGAGCTGAGGCTTTGATGCTGCCTCATGGTTCACATATCGCATTTTTATCCGCGCGATGATCTGAGTGTTATTTCCGATTGTAGGTAATGAAGGAAGTGAGAGCGCTGTTGTCTGTGGTTTATTAATGAGGCTTTACAGTGACAAGACGTTTAAGGCAGCCAAGTAAAATCAGACAGCAAAGTTGATGATCGTATTATTTAATGGTAGGTAAAACGCTGTTTTTACAATGTGTTGGACATTAAAAAAAAACAAAAAACAAGTTCCTATTTATTTAAGAAAACAATAGAAATGAGGATGTAACTGTGACATTATTGTAAATAAGATGGTATATGTACAGTATAAATATATTAAAACACTCAATGTCCACAATAATAAGTCTATAAGGGATTTCACACTTGCAAAAATCTCCTGAAAAACTCCTGCTGAATTTTTCACTTGGACTTCACTTGAAGTTTCTCCTGCCAGACCCCTGGTACTTTTTTCTGCTTCAAGTCCGAGTGGACTGATGTGAGAACGCAGCAGGATATTCTCCAGAGAATTTAGCTTGAGCCAATAGGATGGGGGAGTGATGTTTATATACTGTGACTGCTGCACGGTGCATAGAGTGTCTGCACACGGGTGCTATGATCTCTGTGCACGTAATTAAAAGGCTGCTTTAGGTTTTCGGTTCTGACAGTATATCGTTCTACGCTCTCATGTGGATGTCATTCCGTTGGACGACACACATAGCATTGATATAAAGACAAATATTCTCACTATAGCGTCGTATAGCGGACTCTGTTGCTTCATCCCCTACTTCCTCCTTGTTTTTTTTACATCACGTCTTACCGCAGGAGACCCCCCCCCCCCACCCATCTGACAGCGATAGTCTCCAGCTGTGAGGAGCATGTGTGAACAGACAGGTCGGGAGAATCTACAGAGCAGAGCAGAGCAATATCTAAAATTATCTAGGTTTTTTTCAGATATTTTCAGGAGTGGATATGTGAAATCACCGTATCTTTATGATCCAAACACATCTAATACTCGAGCTAAAAGAAATGTGACTTTTTGTGCCGTAAACTGAGGTCAAAGGTGAAGATGATATTTTTCTGGACCACTTGATACCGAAGAAAGTTTTTAAATGTTTTGATATACCTTAATGTACATCTGGGGAAAATCCGATCAAATAGACTCTGAATTAAAAACAAAACACTTTCCCCCTCAATGACACGCTATGAAATATGAACATGGACCAACTGATTCACTTCTGTTGAACCGCAGTGGTGGCCGAATACCTGGACAATTACAGCCTTCATTACCAGGATTAAGTAAAAAAATATATACAACTGTTTTTTCCATTAGGTTAAAGCAACACTTTAAACCCCAAAGCCGATGTGTGCACAGTCCTTGGAGTATGATTTCTGCTCATCTAAGTTGTTTGTTGTTCAGTGGAGTCATTCGACGCGTCGTTTATCCAGTCCTGCTCACCGTAGAGTACGGATCCTGGTTGCGTGTGTGAGGGTTGAGTGGCTGCCAAAGCACATCACAAACAGGATTAGTTTGAGCACAGAGTCATACACTTACACATTTAAATTACATGTTTTTATAAGGACTGATTTTTAAAAAGATTGATGTCCTGGAATCTTATAAAAGTTCAATGTTTAAAGGTCACATATCCTGCAGAATTCACTTCACCATGTTTCCACAATATGTGTCCCTAGTCTGTCTACAAACACCCCAATGATGAGAAAAGTCCATCCTCTCTGTCTTTTACCAGAGGTGGGGGGCCGCTCTGCCCCCCTCTCTCCCACCACAAATCCGTAATATCGACTCTCTCTCCATTTTCAAATCTCATCTCAAAACACATCTTTTTAAACTGGCTTATTCAGTCTGATCATTCTCCACCCGTTCTCATAACTCCTTTTACATCCTGTACATTTGTGTTTTTTTGTGTTTTTAATGTTAATTTGTTGTTTTTATCTCTGCTCTGTAAGGTGACCTTGAGAGTTTTGAAAGGCGCCTTTAAATAAAATGTATTATTATTATTATTTGCCTGCTCCACTTTTCGGAAAATGTGTGATCAAACAGGCCATTTGGAGATTTTCCCTTAGTGACATCACAAAGGGCAGTAACCCCTTCCCCAGGTGGGTGACAATCCCACAGCTAGGTGTTTGTTCTGCCCTCTGAGTCTGCCTTCTCACAGTAAACAATAAGGCATGGAGCGGGAAAGCCCGAGCCATCCAAGCCCTTCCAGAGAGGGGGCGTGGTCAGACACAGCTCATTTACATTTAAAGGTACAGACACAGAAACAGCCTGTTCTGATCAGGGCTGAAATAGAGGGGTTTATAGGCATGATCAAATACAAGACCAGAGTGGATTTAGAACAAGAAACTTTACACACATGTTTTGGGGAGCTCTGAGACTTATTTAAAGTGATTGAAAAGGAGAATAATATGTGACCTTTAACTTTTACTCTGTCTTGTTTGTCTTGTCTGATGACACGCTTGATAAATCATGTGTTAGTGAGTTGAAGAAGTTTTTGTAAGTGGACAAAATTATTGTGAGCTAGCAGGTTAACTTTTCCTCTCCTAAGCTAGGCTAACAAGCGTATCTTTGGTATCAATCTTCTACAAAAACTTGAAAAAGTGGATTTTGCAGGTGGGTTCATAATCATAAAAGTGACCCTCATCACGGATCAGAATTGGTTGAGACAACACCTACCTCATAGTCAGGAGATGGGAGAGGTGGAGCTCGGCCTCCTCTGCGAGCAGGTGCTACAAGATAATAACAGAAACATGTTTGACCATTTATTTGTGACTCAGACATGACTTTAAATTGATCCTTTTAGGTTGAGCATGCAGATAAGTAAAGCCCTTTTCCCACATGCACAGCGCTTCAGGGTGAGGTGCATGTGTGAACGCACACAGCCAAAAGTTTCACCCCACTTTATTCCAGGTTTTTACTGCCCGCCTTTTTAATAAGTTATCTAGAAGAAGTTGGAGTGAGCTGAAGTGTGAGCGCAGCAGATATTATTCAAGATATATCCCTGCTAACGAGTGGACAGGAAGTGATGATGTTTAAATCATGCAACCAGGACAAAACATTAGGGATCTTAATGAAGCTGCTTCAAACTCCTTTTGTGCTCGCCATCATGTTTCTTTTTCGTTAGTATAAGGCTGATTCCTTGCAGCGTTGATAATGTAATAACGGTGCAAAAACAGTCATTATCCTGTTCTGCTTTGTTGCCGTCTTGGAGGTGTTGTAAACATTACACTGCCCCTTCTGCAGCACCCTTTTTTTCATTGTGTCCTGCCTCTCTCGCTGCGAAGGACAGGTTAAGAGGGAAACCATGAAAAATGTGAAATCAAATACATTTCACATGAGCAGTCTGTTCTCAGGCAAACAAAAGCATGTTTTCTGACCCGTCTCGACCTCCACTCTGCATAGAAGCTTTGGCAATACAGAGTCACTAAATGTAAACTGAACCGATTTAAAAACTCTTTTGTACCCAAGTCCATCAACAAGTTAAACAATATTTCTTAAGGCTGTATCGGTTTGGCAATAGTGTCGTTGAGTTCTTTTGTCTGTACTCTCTTACTTGCGCTGTGTTTTATCTAGATCTTATGCAACATGGGTAATGTGCAATACATGTAGAGTTTTTTGGTTTTCATTGGTATATGCTTTTCTGTTTTCATGTGGATTGTGTGTGATGATTCTATCGTGGAGGCAGCTGAATGTTTGCAGCACTTTAAGTGCAAGACAAATTTTAAAATCGTATCATCGCATCGCATCCTACCTCATCATATTCGTATCGTACTGCATCGCCTTGAATCGCATCGTATGATATCGTATTGCATGGCATCTTATTTCAGCGCATTATATTGCATGGCATCGTTTTACTTGAGATAATTGAAAATAATTCCAGAGTTGTAAGAGCTACATGTCTGAACCTTTGTTCCTATTGATATTCTGCAGAGTGGTTCTGCTAACCTTGTTCATTGATTTGTAAAATACTCTAATCTTTTCTTACCTGTGGAAGCATTGGACAGTCCATCTGAGCGTCTCTTTTTGCCACACCTGTAGATAATCATCATCACAAACGCCGTCCCGATCACGTCCACAATGATGGCCAATGCAAACACCAGAGGGTTGAGCTCGAAGCAGTTCTCACACGCTGAAGGAAAGTAAGAGGCAGCTGACTGAGGGGGTCGACAAAGATTACTAAATAATAAATAATGAAGAGTATCTGCTGTTAACTCACCTTTTCCTTGCACGTAGAAGTAATACTTTTTATCTACGTCATGCACACAGTGGTAAAGGCCTTTCTTTTTGTTTTCATACTTGAAAACATATGTCTTATTCTCCTTTAGGTCTGTCATCTCTGAATTTCCTTTTTCATACCACGTCCCTTCTTCTGGACATGTCATTGTGACAGTTTCCCTCCAAAATTCTACATCACCTGAAAACACATGGAAAATATTTTAAGTTATTAACCACCCTCATCCTCCAGGACTTCACAGTGAGTAAAGAGAACAATCAGAGAGCTGAGGTCGTCTGTGCTTTTCGAGTTTCCCCGATGCTACTGTGAACCACATCATGCCGATCTATGACGACAAGGAGTTTCCAAAAAGATCTCAAAATAAGGAACAAATCGATAAACATTTTTTACATTTCCTCCAGAAAACGTAGTTGCATTATTACCAAAAAAATGGTCCAGCAAATGAAAACATTAGCTGTAAAAGTTAAGAAAATTACAGACAGTCACATTTCAAAGCTCTCAACACGGCAGTAGGGACGGTAGAGGGGCAAACGATGAAGCACAAGAAATGAAGACTTCTTGAACGTTGCTCTTAGATGTCAGTTTTTTTCTGCAAAATGTGTATTAAAAAAATATTTAGGAATTGTACCAATAATAATGAAAACATACCGTCAGCAGCATCCGCAGGGGAGATGAAGAGCAGGAGGACGGTTAGCGCAGCGCCAACACTGATGCTAGTCATTTTGCTCAGACGACTTTAGCTTTGTGTTCTGGTTTTGTTCTTGTTGTTGGTGTTGGTTCTACTCCACAGAGTTGATATTTCAACGTATTCAGAACCAGATATAAGAAGAAACAAATTTTAAAAGAATCAATCTGCCTGTTGGAAAAGGCAAAAAAAGAGTCAGAGAGGAGAACACTTGAAGTTCACTCACTCACTGACTCTCTCTCTCTCTCTCTTTTCTTTCTGACTCTTGTCATCTCTCTCTCGCTAACTCACTCACTCGCACGCACGCACACGCACACAAACACATACACACACTCACACACACACACACACACACACACACACACACACACACACACTCACTCACACACACACACACACACACACACACACACACACACACACACACACACACACACACACACACACATACCCTGCAACCCACAGGAAGCATTTCTTTTTCAAGATGAGTAAACAGTTACACGCCTAAATGTCGGCCATCTTTTTGAATGTAATTTGCTCTTAGATATTCATAAAATACGAATAAAGAGAGGAGCCAAGCAGGGTAATGTTTGTGATAATTTGATCCTTTTTATTTTACCCTCGTTCTGTTTCGCATGATGTTTATGAATCATTGTCAGGTGTCAATAGAAAATGTGATTCACCTGATGAAAAAGAAGCTGTGTTCAATGACAGAAGCCATTATTATTTTAAATCAATTGAGGGTACCTTCATATTTCACTTGTGACGGCCCTGCCATGTGTGTTTCTCCTGGTACTGTTGTGCTGTTTTCATTTGCAGAGCTTTGGCTTCCTCTGGTGGTGGGTTATGGCTTGCTGGCTGGTTACTCGGAGACCCCGCCCACCTGCCTACCTGTGATTGCTGACTGGCTTCACCTGAGTGGAAGGACATATGAGCCAGGCTTTCTCAAATTTCTGTCTCTCTCCCTTTGGACAGCCAACATGCTCACCCCTTTGCAGTGGCTATTTTGTGAACCCCAGGTAGAGATTTTTTATATACCCAGGAAAGAAACTCATTGAGATTAAAAATCTCTTTTTGAAGAGCGTCCTGGCCGAGACAGTCAGCAGCACAATTAACAGAGTTACACACAAACAACGAGCAGCCAAACATACAAATACAAAACATCATTAGGCATGAAAAGACACAAATAACAAATGTGAACAGCAAATGTTTGTCAATGTCATCCACAGACACATCAGGGAGAACATCTACAGCCAGATGTTTTTGCCTCCAAGTCATTTAACTTCCCTTAAAAGCATCTAATCAGAGAAGGTCGTTAAGTTTCAGCTCTTTGTGATTTGTTCCAAGTACAGGGAGCAGAAAACTTAAACGCTTTTTTGATGAGTTCAGAGAGGCTAAAGTCCTCGTAGCAGCGGCCATGGGTTTGAATCTGACCTCTGCTGCCTTTAGCTTCATGTCATCATCCCGCTCTCTCCTCCCGTTTCCTATCTCTCTTCAGCTGTCCTATCACATAAAGGCAAAAACTAAAAAGAAGTAAATGTTTGTATTTGTGGAGGAAGATTGCTATACTTGGCTGTGACTAATGGGGATCCATATGAAGAGTGAAGAAAAAATAATCATATATGTTGCAGTCCACATTAAAGGTGTCTGAGATGTTTCCTCTTTATGTCAGAGGTTTACAAAGAAGGTTGTATATCTATGAAACTAGAGTCACATATTGCCTTTAATTAATAAAAAAGTATGACATGCTACAGAGATGAGAGCTGAATATCAGCCTCTCTGATCTTTCTGACAGACTCTATAGAAGCAGTTACATCAAAGTGCAGCTCTGACCCCTAGTGGTTCAAACCAGTAACCGACCACTTTGATAATGAACTCTTTTAAAGGTTTTCTGCTCTGTTCGTCTCACTGGTTGTTTTTTACTCTTAAATAGAAAGTCAAAGAGTGCCAGTTCTGTGGTTTCTGACATGGAGAAAGATGTATATTTTCTCACATCCATTAAATAGTTAAGATTACTTTATATTTTTATACTTATGTTAAAATGCAAAACTTCTTCGACCAGCTTGCATCTATGACAAAAATATTTAACCTAAATAAGGGGATTTGACTTTAACATGTAATGATGTGATAAAAATCGAAACATTGGTTTCAAATTTGATCCTTTTGGTCTTACAGTAGTAAAATATTGAACATGTTAAATACTTAAATATGACGCTATAACATGTTCGACTCTACAGAATCATGAAGTTGAAAAAAATCATCTGGAAAATGTGTGTCACGTCTTATAAAAGTATGATGACATATTTAGCTCAGATTATCCAGGGAGCCCGCACACACAGTCTTTATGAATCATACTGGATGTGTGCTTGCGCAACAGCTCTCTGGCATGGCACCGCAAATGTGTTTTACGCAGTGGCCGAACAGGTTAGGTGACCATTAAATATTTGCGGGCTTTGTGATAGACGTGAAGGAGAGAGGTAAAGGAGGCAGCGAGGAGAGTGAACGACTTTGTTACTCCGCCCGAAAATGTGGTGGGAGGGTGCTGAAGGGAAAATGTGTGAGGGCATCGGCGAGTTGGGACGCGTCTTTGGAGAGAAAAGGTAGAGGAGAGGGCTCCGCGTAGCTTCAGTGTTTTTTATTAGTTAAAGCCCTCTCGGAAGGGGATCCATCGACTTTTTCGGCGGAGTTTCCAGTCACTGTGAGTCGGCGGAGGAGTCTCAGTGGGTTAGTTTCTTGATAATTGGACATCCTGCCGTCCATCCAATGTGCGTAAAGGGGCTCTATTTCCTCGGCGTCCTGTGTGGACTCGCAGCTTCAGGTGAGACCCCAGTTTGGTGTGAGTGGATGAAACGATGGACTATTTTCAGTCAATATGTATGGGATATTGATCCACCCTAACCCTAACCCTAACCCTTTGTTTGTATTGGGAATCATCACACCGTTTAGTGTGATGTATCCAAGTCTGTGTTCTAATTGTTATGTTTTTCTTGCTCATTCTAAAACACAGTGGCAATTTAATTAATACATTCTCTTCTAGCCTATAACTCTCTATCCATTGTTGTATTTTGATTGTACTTGGCATAAACAAACCAGTATGTGCTCGGCTTTGTAGCATCAGGACTCTCCAAAATGTACTCCCCCCAAACATCCCAAGAGTGGTCTTTAGACACAACAGGATGCCTCTTTAGAGACGCTCCCTACAGTCAAGCCTCGGAGTTAAAGAGAAGACGTTGATTGGCTGTCCATTAGAGAGAAAGAGAGAGCTCCACAGGGACCCCTAACCCACATCTCTGAGCGCCCGCCGTGCGTCACAGGGAAGTGGTAACAGAAGTTGTAACAGTGGCACCGGGAAGGGTCGCTGAAGGATTCAGGTGAAGGCTATAAAACAAGCCAACTTCAGGCAGGATAATGACTTTAAAGTATACCCATTTACCGGCATCAAGACCCTGGCTGCATTGTGTTTGGGTTCCATGCTGCCTCACTCATTTCCTGCCCTCTCATGTGCGTCCTTGCTGTGAAGTTTACAGTGAAGTGGACCACTGGACGCAGATAAGTCAACCTGCTTCCTGTAGGAAAGCGATCCAGGATATGTCAGTGGGATGATAACAACATGTCAGAGAGGCGTATGGAAATAAACACTAATACATCAAATCTTATTGTTAAGAGCTGCTCACTGTAAAAAGCCGTAATGGCACAGCTAATGGAGCATGTTTTAATATCACAAATTGGTGTATCAGTTGCAATTCATTCAGGTTATTTAACCTTGAAGTAATCCGTGTCCATCCCAGTTAAGTGGATTATATCGATTGAACGTGTCCATCTTCTGCCAAAGCACCATGTAGGGATTCACAATAGTAGCAAGCTGCTTGTGTTTACAAGGAGCATGTGCCTGCGGGTCAGTAATGATACATTCACAGGCAGGCCACAGGGGCTGGATAAATATACTGGGTGCATACAGAGGGGTAGAAAATCAAATAACAGCATGAGGATGAAGAAAGGCATGCTGGGACTGATTACGACTCGGCTTCATTTCAGTTCTCATTTCTTCTATAATCATCTCCGCTTGCCTTTGGCTTCATAGTGCTGGCAAATCAACGCACCGTGATGTGACGAGCCAGAAGAGTCATATCTTTTTTCATGAGACATTTTCAGTCTCTGTGCAGCGAGGAATAATTCATCTCCCCCCCATCCCTCCCTCTTTTAGGTAAACAGATCTGCTGTGACATTAACACAGCATACAGCTAACAACATTTACCCATCAGCACTCCCCCCTTTCGTCTGACATGCATTGCATTGATCAAAGACATACTCTCACACTTAACTGCAAAGAGCTACATCTTTGAAGAGATACGTTACATAGCAAACTGAATAATCTCGCTCTCTCTTCCTGCTGCTTCAAACATAATCACAGCAAAGTGTTGGAGCTTTCATCGCCCCTAAAAAGATCAACACACTGCTCCTTGGTGTGTTTTGTAAAATGTGGATGGCAGAAGTTTAAAAAAAAAAGAAGAAAAAAATGACATCGACTATAAATCGGAATTTGTGTCAAGATGTTTCTGGGAGCGGTGTTTTTTCGATTTTTACATCACCAGAATGGAATTGCCTTTGAGAGCAGTTTTGATTGCAACCAGATTTGGATTCATTTTTTTAATTTATTGCTGAGATCTGATGGTGGATGATTCAGCAGGAGTTAGGAGTAGCTCCTGTTTGGTTTTCTTTAGCGTCATTATGGTGGAGGCACAGGACAATCATCAAACACAAATATAGGACTAAAAGCCGACCACATGGCAACAGCAATAACACACAGTGCAACATGGTTTTTGCATAGTTGTACGGAGAAGTGCATTCGTTGTCTCAAACATAAACCCCAAAAAACTACAAAAACATTGGTGACCTCTGTGCATGTGCAATTTCCCTGTCAAGCTGCTATCAAGCAGAACAAATATGTACAGTATGTGCTGGAATACTTTGATTGGCCTTAAATTGGCCCCGGGTGTTCTCTGAATTTGATCCTGGCCTTCAGGGGAATGTGCGGTGTGATGTCACAAATAAAATGTCTTAAAAGTTGCTTAAGCTACGTTCATATTGTCAGAACATCGGTTCAAATTAACTTTTAATCAAACTTAATGATGCAGTTAACAAAACAGGATTTTTGGGTCCCTTGGTTGTCTGGCACCCTGGGACATTTGGCCTTTTTTATCCTGGAGAGAAACAATCTTTGTTTGAGACCAAAAATAGCCATTGTTAGCGTCTACTCACCGTGGTGAGGTTTGCACCGCGCCCTCCAGAACCTCACATTGTTCTCGTTTTGAGCAGCTGAAATATTCAAAATGAAAAAAATCATGTTTGACCCAAAAGCAGGAGTGTTAAAAGAAGAGAGGTTTTCCTCAAAAACGCTTGATTTAAAGCTCCTGTGCAGAGTTTCTAGCTGGTTATGAAACAGACTGAAATTAAATCAATGCATCTTAATGAGCTATAAAGGCAAATGAGACCGTCAGCAGTGGTGTGTTATTGTAACGCCACTATTATTTGTGGTAACTAGTACGGTACCTTGTTTCTTTCCAGATTCAATAACGTTGTTACAGTTACTGACAGTTACTGACGTTACTCGCTACTTTGGGTAAAAAGAGCTTACTCATTTTTACATTACAAAAGAAAATGGGATGGGGGGGGGATGGGATAAGATGCAGGTTTGTATTCCTTGCGTTCCTGTTGTCCACACTTCCTTGCCGCTGAGGTGGAGGTTGGAGCAGGTCGTGCATGAATGAGGGCGGCGGTGGTTGTGGAGACGACACAGTCAGATGGCGGTGGCTGGGCGTCAAGGACATCGGGTGGTAGTCGTGCTCGAACACCTCGCTGATACAGAATACAGAAACATGAGGAAGCCCTACATGTATCCATAAGTTTCATTTTACTCTGTTTTCCTGAGTGAGCGAGTATCATCTGGTTGTTTTCTCAAGATTACAACACATTTATGATGTTATCTTTGGATGACGACGCTTCTTTTTTCTGTGTTCATTTCAGTTGTCTTCTTGAGACATTGAGAAATAACCTCGTTATCATGCAGGAAAACCAGTTTTGTTATCCTGAGATAAGAAAATAAAGAATTTGAGATCTCCAGAAAACCACTGAAATGCACTCCTTATTACAGGAAACATGTCCTCTCAGGGCTCCTGTAGCCATAGGAGTGATACATTTAAATGTTAAAAGAAAGCAGGATGCGATTCTTGTGAAAAAAATACTTTAACATGTAGGTCTACGGGTCCTGCGTTGTCCACAGGGGTCACCAAAATCCACACAAACAGACATGACATTAATATCTTCTTGGCTAAACAACATCTTAAAGCCTCACACGGTGACTTTGTACTTAGAAAAGGTAACACACACTTGATTATTCTACCAAGTTGGACCAGATCTCCTCTGTTTTTATCAAACACAGAGAAGACAGCAGGCCGGAAATCTCTTCTCATTATTCCTCATCCGCTGGTGTTTATGATAAATCTGTTGTCTTTTGTTTTTGGCTTTGCTTGACTTCCTCTTGTGTTCCTCTTTACACTTTCTTCCTCTATCAGACGCCTGAAATGTTCCCAGGCTGACGTGCACCAACCTGTCCTGACTTACAGGTTTAGCGCGCACACCGTCTTGCTGCTTACACTGGTTGTTCAGGCTTCACTTTTAACTCTTTCAGGTTTACAGCAGATCAGCAGCACCTTGTTTATTTCTTACTGGCATGTAGCAATTATCACTGTGCCACGCCATTTATAATCTCACCACAACAATAGGTCAGTATAAAAAGCCCTGCTGCGGTTTTTGACATGCTGTGCTGTGTTGACACACCTAGGACGGCATCTGGCCTAGGTTCATGGGATTGCCTGGAGGTGTGTAGAGTCAGCAACAGTGACGCGCTAATATGCATAAACACACCAATCCAAAAGCCTGCAGGCTTGGGGTGCATCTGTGAAGTGTTTGACAGTGAAGGCGAGGCGCTCCCTGTGTAGTGTTTAAATCTACTGCTCCAAGTGTAAACAGAGATTTTAAAAAACATTCCTTGTTGAATTGCAAGTGTTTGTGTTTCAGCTGAGATTGGAGTGTTTGTGCACACATGCACACATACACACACACACACACGCTCGTTTTTTCTTCTGAATCCGTGCAACTGCAAACACAGCATATCTGCAAGCATAGGTTTCTGCTCGTGCAGTCACACTCTTACATGGTTTGTTGGCTGGTCGCTCCTCCTGAAAACTGTTTAGAGTTACGACAAACAAAGATATCTTACAGTTAAAGCAGCACCTCCTCCAGGTTTACAGCATGTGGAATAAATCAGCTGTCAACCTTCCATGGAAAGTCTGCAGGTTTCCCCCTAAATATCCTTGTCTGCAAAGAGAGAGAGAACCAAGGGACATCATAACAATATCTGTGATGAACTCAGCAGTGGTGGTGACTGAACTTCCAAGGCTTGTAGATCTGCTCTTTGTGAGTTTCCTGTTCCTTGTTTAGTGTCTGACTTTGGTTCAGACTCAATGTTATTTAAAACACTGACTAACAAAAGTGAACTCTGTATTGAAGAGAGAAGCGGAGGCAGCTACTTATCTGGTTCTGCTCACCCATTATGTGACACTGCGCTAAGCTATTTAAATGAATGAGGGTGAAGGTTAAGGGGAAGAGGGCTGGCGCGTGTAGGTGGGGCGGGTTTCAGTCACATTAATTAACTTGAATGCTCCGTGTGACTCCAATTAATGTCCATGGACGTCAATGTGACTTAAAATGGTAAATGGACTTGAGCTTGTATAGCTCTTTTCTAGTCTTCTGACTACT